AGATTTGACTCTAGTGTAGATTTGTTCTGCTGATCAATATCTTGAGATATATCAAGGGAAAGATTGTACACTTGATTAATTTTACTAATTTGTTATTTTGATGAAATCTTGTATCTTTAATCATAACTCCAAGTTTTTAGATTTTGATCAAGTCTTTGTGAACACTTGATAGTTGCCTTTGCTAAAACATTTATTATCAAAGGCAAGAAGAACTGATCCCAAGCATCTTTGAGAGATATGGAAGGATTTTAACTGATTTTAAAAGTCATATGTTGCCAAGTTTTTACCTATCTGTTATTGAAAGGTTTCTTAGTCAGAAATAATAAAGATTTGCAAAATTTATTGCATATACATATACTGTACTTAAACCTGAAAAACCACAGCAAATAATTCTGAAAATCCATCAGAACTGCCTGGCAAATAGAGCTGAGTCATTGGTCCTGTTTTTAACACATCCATCTAAAAAAGTTGTACAGAGACAATGGTATCTTCTAATTGTTGATAAGACAAGTTAATGACCAATTAGAATTGTATTTATAAACAGTGTAAGAACAGCAGGTACTAGTATTCGGTTTAAGTTGACCAGTTTAAGACACCGTATTAGTATTTTTCACCATGGAACATTATTGGCTGAGTGATAATGAGTTATATTTCTCATTTTAGTAAGTTTTACATCCTTTTTTGATATTTTCAACAATGGTCATTATTTGAAATGCTGATGTTAAATGTTAATGCATAGCAAATTTGGTAACTTTTACTGCTAATTTTCATTTTATCTGTCAAATAGAATAAGTTTGCTTATACTGTGCAGGAATCTTTGCTTACATGTTTCATCTTCCAAAATGCGACAATCAGTAAAAAGAGAGTTTTGACAGTGTAGTTCAGTGTAGATTTTATTTAGAAGGATACAGTGTTCAACAAGTAACTTTTCTGGTGTTAAAGGGCCAGGTGAGCCATTTTCGGGGGTTGATTTGAGTGTTGAATATATGTAAATATTCTTCAGAAGTACTAGAAATGAAAGTAAATCATATAATTCCTTTAAAATACTTCGAACTAGAAATTTACTCACTATTTATAATGTCTTTTCTATATATCATAGAGTATCTTAACTTGATGAGTTGTCATTTTAACATTCAAATGCAGATAATTCTGGACATACATTGATTTGAAAGCTCAAATTTCGACGGTGAGCTGTGAACACTTTTATTGATTGGCTTAGTTAAAAAAAAATTCCCGTTTCTGAGACTAAGGTACGATTGGTCAAAAAATGCTGCTTCTGTCCCTTTAACTTTTGTTGAGAAATTCTGTTAGAAACATTTTTCATGTATTTTGAGGTGTCACATTTGATACTTATTAAAGTTTGACCACTGTAAACATGTGTAAAAGAAATAAAGGTCAATTTAAAGTATGTAGATGACCAGTAAAATATTGACATAAATATGTTTGTACCATATAGCATGTAGATAAACTATGTACTCCACTGTTCAGAGGTCAGCCTACACTGGACCTTTACTTCTTTGATAAAATACAAATGGTCACTTTGGAATTTTTGTTTTATTATCCCCAAGTCTGTTTGGTTTGATAATATTATAGCTCTTGTAATATACCAGCAACTTAATGCATTTTATCTTCTGATAACTTCCTCAAGTCATATATTTAATACAATACAATGGTTATTCATATTTGAGAATTAGTAATGCTATAATGATTGCTTGAGGGAAGGAAAGAAACAACCATATTATTTGGTTTTTGGCCAAACTCTTGTCTTTGATCTTTTCTGGATTATCAGTACCCATTTACAGCTAGAGTAGATGGAATGAATAAAATGATAAAGAATGACTTATTGAAATGGAAATTTTAGTCCTACTTTTCTGCACCTGATTGGGCTCATAATGACCAGCAACACCATTGAGTGTGCAGTGAGAAAACTTTTCCAGGACAGCAGCTTAGCATAGGCTTGCTCCTTTTGCAATTTCCAACTGTCGAGGGATCTTTTTACAAGCACAGTTTGTAGCACTCAGGGCCTCCATTTATTAAAGGTCCCCAATCTAAAACACACTGATCAAGATAACAAATCATGACCACATATAAACTTATATTGCACATTGCATACAAGGTTAACAAGGTAATAAGAATCTACTACACAACAATAAGAATAAGATGTGAGCTCTCTATGGTCATGTAACATTACGGATTTCTGCATCACTGATTCTTTTGTTAAAACCTCAGATCATTTGCTTTATAACAAAAACCTTGCTTAAAATATATGGAAAGGTTAATAACTAACAATGTACTAAATGACTAAAATGCGAAAAAAGGAAATATCTCACAATAGAAAAATAACAATGTACTCAACAACTAAATGTGGAAAAAAAAAGATATTCACACAAAATGTTGAAAGAAAACTTATCTATATCAGTTTCATTTATTGCTCACATAACAAGAGCAGTTGTCTTTGATCTTAGTAAAATATTTTGATATAATAAAAGTTACAAGATATAAGTGTAGTTAAACTTGTCTGTTAACATGTTGTTAAAATGTTGTTGATCAGCTTATAACACTTGGTGTGTAGATCTTGATGAGTGTGTGTTACCACAATATATCTGATGTGTTAAGAGTTAACACAACAATATTAACAACTTTATATACAACTATGAATACAATCAATAAATGTTTGATGTAAATGCTTCTATGTATATTTAATGCATTCAGTCTCAATTTCCAGCATTTGCATTACTCATCCTTGGTTAACCTGTATATTTTATGCTCTATGCCCAGATATGACAGTAATCAGAATATTACTATACTAAGAGTTCTCTGTGAACTAAAATGTGTAATTTTTGGAAGATACACAAATAATGAATTTATTATGATTCTAAGTATTTAACAACAGCTAGAACTTTTCAAGTTTCCCAAAAGTTCACAGAAAAGATTTTAAGGTATTGAATTTGTGACACAAATCATTTTGTACTTTTGAAGGCTGAATACATGCCCTACTAGCTATTGAAAAAAAATTTGGCCTTGGCATATATTGTATTTTGTGATTTGGATAGTTTTGTTACAAAGTGTCAAGGAATTCATGAATATTTATCATCATGAAGTCGAAACTGATAATGACTTACAAATTCATTATAAAGAGCCTCTTTCACACCTCAATGAGGAAAGAATGTAATTTTTCTCATAAAGAGATGACACTGAATATTTTGTTACTGTATAGTAGATCTATTGTTCAACTATGTAAAGTTTGAAACAGGCAATATAGAGTAGTATCCCTTTACACTGAGCCGTAAAAAATGCTGCACACCTACAGACATTTTATAATTGCATTCATCATATACATTTCAGATTAACAATTTATATTTCTTATGCATTCATAAGATATTTTTTATATTGTTTATATTGAATATATTATTATGACCTTATTGTTTTGTGCCATATAGATTTAACAATTCAACATCAAGTATCACTGTACATGTGTTTCATATTTGCTGCTAATATATTTAATATGTTTTTATTATCGCATATAATTCATATTAGCTCATTGTATTACTTGTATTATATCATATCAGTTACTTCTGCTATTTAATATATTAAATATTTATGGTATATTTTGTATATTTTCAGTACTGTTGGTGGTCAGAAGGAGGAAATTAAACTTGACGAACCAGCTGATAAAGAATCATATAAACGAGTGCAATTAGGCGGTGAAATCCCTATCCATGGATTACAAAAACCTGCCCCTCCAAAGCCTAAAAGTGAGTAGTTTCATACAAATGTTCTGAAATTCTTGCATCCCTGTTGAATTTTGACCAGCAATTGAATAAACATTTTCATCATTATCTGTGATTGGATTCAATCTTTAAAAAGCTGCTGGTTCTCTCTTTCCAATATTCATTTCATATTTTATGATTTAGCATTTTAGTGTTTTTTTAAATTTGCTTTTCCTCATATTCTTGCCCTTTAAAATGAAAGAGACATATGGAATGGTAAATTATTACTATTTGTGGATATTTATTTTCAACACTACACATATATATATATATAAATATACATTTAAATCATTTATTCAGAATAACTATTCATTATTTCATCTACTATATGACTCTATCACATGTTTGTTTATTTTCCACATTTTATATCAGCCATGACCTCTACACGTAAATATTTAAACCTGTTGGGTCATCTGCTTTAATCTAACCTATGAGTTTGACACAACATCAAACAATTTTACTATATATATGAACATGGAATATAGTTTTTGATATTGTGTGAAGTATATAGAATGTACAGAAAAGTAATGAGGTGTTAAATGATAGATATTATTATAACCTGATCATAATATTATCATATTATTATATCTAATTACTTAATCACATATCACAGTACACAATTATCATACAATATATATTAGACACACCGGTTGATGGACTTTGTTCAACCCATTTTCACATCATAATGATTGAGGTTAGCTTTGATTCATTCTGTAGTCTTTCATTGCATGTTCATGTTGCTTCTTTGATTTTACCTTTGATATCGTAAGTAATCCTTGCTTTCTACCATCTCATAAGTATATTATTTGACCAATGAGAACTGTTTTGGTATATTGAGTGGTGAGGTCTCTTCGTTATTTTTTTTGTCCCATATCCTATTTGTTTTTCTAACCAGCAGCTTTTTCTAATCCTTATTCAAAACTTAAACAGATATTTCATTTTGGCTTTCAAAAGTGTGACTTTCTAAATTAATGATCAATTTGACTAATCTTGATGACACTGTGTTTTATTGCTCTTTGCAGTGTTCTACCACCCTTTCATTCCAAAGAAGAAAATGCATGGTGGATGAAAATTGACCCCCTCTAACACTAGATCTCCTGCATGCTACAGTGGTTCATCGAATTGCTTGTGCTAACATAAACTTTCATTAGTGAAGATTTTAATGAACTAACCCTAGTAGAGAAAGAGATAAGCGTAGTTTTACTAACTATTTACTGTGATTAATTGAGCATGGCCAATAGATATAGTGATAATAGAGTTGACCATTTGACGGTTAAATCAGTTGATAATAACAATACTAACAGTGATAATATACAGTCCTCTACCACTCAATATCATCCTAACATTTCCAAACCTCATGGGTATTATTATGCTGTTGATCATGGTACAAAACATGGATCCACATATCATATGAACGTTGTCAATGAAAACTGTGTGTACGAACCTACTGGATATTCTAAAAAGATATTGGATTTTAAAACTGAACCGTGTAATAGTGAATTAATATCTACACAGGAGATAGCAGATTATGATAGGTCAACTTATCTTCGACCTGAATATCTAGACTTGGTGAAATTACCTAAATCAGATAGTTCATCTCAAAGTGAATCTAATAATTCTTCTGAGGATGAACATACTAGAATTAACTATGAGCCTAGTGTTGACAGTCAGTATGTTAGAGGACAAGATAAATTGGCTTCTGGTATTGTAATTGGGAGTTCACCAGAAAAACTGATTTATGACTATTCCAGCTTAGACTTTGGAGTAGAGGATCCAATATGGAGTATTGATAGTGAAAGGAGGTATAAAACCAGTGGATATTTAGAACCTATCAGTGAAAGATTATCTAGTAGCTATAACTCATCTAGAAGTTTCTCCCCTCGATGTGACAGTGATTTTAGACAAGATGACAGTGTTGTTAATGAGAAAACCAAACCTTACATTGATATGACCAATAGAGTTAGGGAAAGTGCTGGTACTCCAAGTAGTTTTAATGTGTTTGACAATAACAAATCTCGAATCATCAGTCCCAATTCTAGACAAAGCAGTTTTACAAAATCTCAGCCAAGTTCTCCAATGGTTTATAAAATGCCACCAAGAGCTTTTTCAGCAAGAGATTCTATTACCAGTGACAGATCTTCCAGACTTGATCCACATACCTACCAATCTTATGCTGCTGGTATTCTGTATTCTACAGGAAAATCAGAACAGTTCCTCAAATTACAAAAACATTTTGCTGTACTAGAACGAATATCTGACATTGAAGTAAAAACAAAGGATCCTAAATTTGGTACTTTACCCAGAACAAGATTTAAAACATCCATAACAGACAGTGTCGATTCTCAATATGATTATGATAAAGATGATGAATTGGGGTATCTCTATGCTGAACTAGAAGAAGCCCAGAAGAAGAGAGAATTCCTCTACAGTGTATCAGATAAAAATTCTGTTCCTTGGACACCAGATAAAGATACTGGATTGCTGAAAAAGGAAAAGTCATTGGGTGATTTAAGATCATCATATTTAAACCAAGATTCTAATTACTGTCCTAAACCTGCCTTTACACTTGAAACAGAAGATGAATTCAGAAGAGAACAAGAGTTCCTAGATCTGTATGATAAATATAAGTATCCCGACCTGGTAGAAGAAGATCTCAGTTCTAGTTTAAGCTTACCTTACCAGGATTTTAAGAACAATCATTCTAATAATCGCTACTTATATAATGACCCTGTTACAGCTGACGACGATGTGGCCAATATGGACTCTGTTAAAAAGTTATCAAAATCAGAGCCTAATATAAACAAAATTCCTCTCCATCATGTGAATTCTTTAATAAAAGAAACTCATAAACCTACAAGTGAAAATCTCAAGAACAGTGATTCACCAAAGCAATCAAATTTTGGTATTACTAAAAATGCTAGTAGTTTTGTCAAAGCTGAACCAAATCAGCTGTTTGATATAAAAGCTCCAGAAACTTTTTCAAAGCCTCCAGTAGATGAACCCAAACTTAAACCATTAACATACACAGGATCTAGAATAAACTGGAGTCATATGGAAGCAAATCCCTTGTTTTCTGAAGAGAAAACCCATCCAGATACTAATGATTTTGCTGACACTTTTGCAAAAACTACTTATGTTGAAGAAAGTCCATCCAAAAATATTGCAAGATCTGAAGTTTCAAACACTAAAACTGAACCCAGCGTATTTGTGGTCAAAGATTTGAGAAGTTTGGCAGAGAATAATGAGTTTTCTTTAAGCAAATTTGCACAAATGAAGAGATCTAAAAGCTGCCAGGAGATGAAACCAATTGACAAAATAGTAAGAAAACATAAAGCTCCTGTACCATTACCAGCATCACAAGTTAATAAAGAAAGACCACCCAATCCGGTATCTTCTCATAACCTTCAAATTTCAGATCCAGACTATATCTTTAAGTACAGAGATATGGGTAATGCTGGAGCTAGCCAAGAGAGGGTCACAGAAATAAAGAAGTTGGCATTCCCAGAAAAATTAGAATTAATGCAAAAGCTAAATGATGAAAAAAATAGAGAATTGGAGAAATCGATTTTGGTATCATCAGCATCTGTTGCACATTTGGCATCAGCAACACATATGGAGTCTGCTGAGAGCACCTCACCATGGGAAGAGACAACGAATGATAATGAAAGATACACAACCCATTCACTACCAAACCGTAAAAGACAAGTATCTGGTAATTCCATATTTCATAAACAAGCACCAAGACCATTTAAAGCTGCTAATAATGATGATATATCAGAACACCCACCAGCTTACTCATCTATCATGACTCCTCGAGCAAAATCACCCCTAATAACATCACCAGCTTTATCCAATCAAGAACCCTTTGCTTCCTTACCTAATCACAACACCACCCATACAAACAATACTAATCCTACAGGTACTTTAAGAAGATGGCAGCCTCAAAATTTAGCTGACTTAAATAGTTCGATTTCATCAAACTTTGTCAACAGTAGCACAGAGACCTTTATTGTGAATAGTGATGAAGACTTGTCAGCAAGTCAAACAAGTTCCCTTGTCAGTAAGAGGAGAGATAATTATCAAACCAATTCATCTCTTGAGAAATCTAGATCAGAACCAGATTTAGTTATAACGGATTATGGTCCAAATCGCCCTAGATCAGCAAAATCACAAGTTAACGTGAACCAAGAAGACAAGAAACCAAATTGGAGAAGAACAATTGGTGTTGAATATGTTAATGAACCAATAGAAGCACATCTACCACGAACAATATCAGGTGATTTTGAAGATGTTCGCAAGAAATGGAATGACGGAAAATGGAATTCTTTTGGTCGATCTCAATCCTCTGAAAGTCCTACAAGCCTAGATAATTATAATACTAATGAATCGGCAGATGTGGAAACAGAAAATTTAAGGAATTCCAGGTATATTCCATCAAATAATAGAGATCTATATGAAGATACCAAAAAGAGTATGATCATTAAAACACCATCCAAGTATAATTATGAACCATACTTACCACCAAGTGATATAGTCAATGAAGTCACAAAAGTCACAGAAGGACGGAAATTGATGCAGCCCAAACCTAAAAACAGAACTCCATCTTCAGTTAGTCGCTTAACCTTAGAATATTTTGATCAGCTTGGTGGGGAGTGGAAATATGGAAATAAACGTTCTTTAAATTCGAACAATGAGCCATCTAATGTTAAAAACCTCAATCCAATATCCTTAGTAAAACCAAATACAAATGAAATATATAGCCAAAGTCACACAGTACCAATTGTCTCTAGTTATGTTAATGATACAAGCCAATCTCCGAATGGATTTCATGATTCTCACTCTCAGTACAATTCACTTCCAAATACTAGAAGATATGAGGAGAGAGAAAAGCCAGTACCCACTAGGAGAAGTGGTAAGCCAATACCCAATCACCAGTATGTTAATGGTAATATCACTGATCAGGATAAATTGCTTCATACAAGTGCCAACATGCCCAAACCAATACTTCGAAACTCAAATAAGAATCATATTGATAATCAAGAGATGAATGGTAGTTCATCTAATAAAATTCCGTTATCATCTCCTAAAACAGCTATATCTTCTCCAAAACTTGTCTCAAGAACAGCTTCATCTTCTAGAATTCCTCCACCACCAACTCGCAAAGTTCCACCAGCACCACGTTCAACTACTTCTTCTCATGCATCATCTAGATCTGATCATCAGTATCATCATCATAGTCACCATCAAGCTACTAACTTACCGACTGCTAATAATACAGGTACTAATAATTATTTTACTATCACACATCATACAGTTCAATATACAATGCTTTAAATAATATGCTAGGTTTAATAGCTTGTTTCCACGTTAACAAATACAAAAAGTGTTTCCTGATTCATATAAATTTTGCAGCTCTTCCTGAAACTGCATTTAAGAAGTTGCTAAAGTTTTAGAAAGCTGGAAGCACTGAACTAAGACTCTTAATTTGCATTTCTTGGAGCACAATCATGCATGTTCCTTAAGCAACGGATGGTATTTTTCATATCTAACATGGATTATAGGCCTACTACCGGTGCTTAAGGAACTTAAAACAAAATTACTTGGACTGTTTAAAATTAATTAAAATTTTATTGATTTATTATCCAAACCATGACAGAAAGTATATCCACAAATATTAAACTAGTTTGATACTGATTTATTTGTTAATTCTATATATGTCTCTTTCATTTCAGTTTTTATGCTTTCATTTGTTTATATCACACTGTATTTTTCAATATATCTTGTTTATTCCTGTACCCTGTGATTAGTCTGTTGTTATGAATCAAAGGCAGACAATTTAATTCTTAAAAAATTTACTTAAAATTTATTTACTTAAATCTATGATTTCACAAGTTTTCTGCCTTTATTCTAATGACATAATTTCACGGTTGGATTTAATCAGATAATATGTATCTCTATTTCAATTTATGTGTTTGCATGCTTCCCTCTGTTCACACTGACTTTTGTTTTTTTCTCCTTGGCATGTTTTAGAATGGACGCCAGCTCATCTTAAGCAGGATGATCAATCACATAGCGGAAGTCCACATGCACAGAGTACAAATATGTCTAATTTCGATTCACAAAGTGATCGTAACTTGACACGTCATGTTCCTGTAACCACATCTAATTCACTACCCATTTCACCACGTAGTGATATCACTAACTCCCCTTCTGGATCCCAACAATCACCCACAATCAAAACATCTAAACTACGGATGCCACGCAGTAATTTAACTGCGGCTGAACAATTGGGTGTTAAAAGTCCGCCCGTGGTAAACACCAATGAAAATGGAGGTATAATTATATTCCGGTTCTATTTATTTATTCATTTTAAGCTTTATTTCTCATATTCTGTGATGATGACTGATCTGCATTTTTCAACTTCTTCAAATTTTATGAAATTTCAAAAAGCAGACAGATCACTCATCATTACTCATTTATTTATTCATTTTCTTTCATAAAAATTTTCAGTTTGCTTTTCTTTATTTTATTCTTTGCATGCTTATGTTTTTTATTTCAAACATGGCTAAACAATACTTTAATAATACAATAAAATTTAGTGTTTTTGAAACAAACTTATTATCAAGTGGTTAACTGAAAATAAATCAACATAAATTTATAACATGACAGAAATAAGGATTTAATTTTTTGTAATATTGGCTTTGCTTGGCATATATTTTGTATTAGATTTAAACCAGTGATGTTAAACTAGTTACTTTTTTAAATTTATTTATTTTTATCTTGGACATTTGGTAAAAGACTTATCCCATGAATTAAGATTTTGTTCAAAATATCAATAGTTAATGTAACTCGGAAGACCTAATCAAATTTTTTTAAATTTTCTAATTCTAACACTAACTTAAAATGGAAATTTTATTTTGAAATTAATTCATTAACATAGATTTATTAACATTCCAATTTATAAACTAATACCAATAATCTCATTTAATATTTAAACTCTTTTTCTGTGTAAACACTCTTAACTGTAATTTGAACTCAAAAGACTAAATTATATTTGATGTTGATTTTGAAGTGTTTTGCTTACTTGAGCTCTTAATTCAATTTTTGCTTCTCATAAGTTAGAATATACTTGTACATGTAGCAATAACTATATTAATATAAAGCTATTATATGTGTTTTTTATGAGAATAATCAGTTATGCAGTGTTTAAGATAATTATTATAATGACTGTATAAATAACCAATTGTCATTATGTTATTTCAGCATTTAAACATCAAACCAGTGATGTTAAGAGATTGGTACCAATGTCTGAGAAGGAAAAGAGACGAAAAGACGAGGAAAGACTATATAGAAAACAGAGACTGGTAAGGAAAATATTTGATTTTGAATTTGAATTTTTTCCAACCTTTTTCGACAATATTGCCAAGTTCTTTGCAAGTGGCGTTCTTGTCAAATAATTAGATTTGGTGAAACCTGAGTGCATGTGTGCTCCAAAAGGTACCTGGGTAATAGGCCATTTTTAGTAAAGTGCAAAAATGCATTAACTTAAATATAAACTTAAGTTTTAAAAATATTTTGAATGTTTGTGTTGTATTTTATGAGAAAACATTTCTTAATTCTTAAAACCAGCTCATTTAAAATAAATATTGCAAAATCTACCTCTTGGGGCTAATTTGGGGTGTTAAGGAATGCACATTATTCTTATAACAAATATAGCCCATTGTGACATCATAATACACTTAATTAGTAAAGATAATGGCTTAGAATGCCATGTCCTTGTTCATGGTTCCTTAGATGTTTCTCTGATGTTAGTTTGATTTTGATGCTATACTTATGCTAGCTTTTTGATGTTCTGACTGTATGTTAAGAATGTTAGATTTTGATGCTCTTGCATATTTTGCAGGATGCTACATTCTGATGCTCATATATCTTGTTATGGATGTTCATTGTTTATTTTCGGAATTTTTATTCCAATGTTCATTGCTTATGCAAAAACTATTATAGTTTAGCAGCATTAACTTATATGATATTTCTGCTTCCAGGAACAGTTATATGAAGAAGAGAGAAGAAGAAAGGTATTACAAGAAGAACAAAATAATGAATCTAGAAGACATAATGATTTCTTTATGTAAGACATTTTATATCCACTCAAAGTCAAAATTTTAAATACTCAAGTCAAACTATATGTAGTTTACTCATGCTTTTGTCTAAGTTACAGTTAGTTGAGTAAGTTAGTTGAGTAAGTTAGTTGAGTAAGGGCTTGTTTTAAAGAACACTTTTAATAGTATACTAACTGAAGTAATGTTGGTAGAGTAAGATGACAAGCATAATATATAACAGTGACATGATAATGATGACATGTCAATCATTATCTTATATTATATATAGGACATGTCATATTTATCATCTTATTGGCATGGATCTGTCTCTATATTTCTTTTAGGCCATCAATGAAATCACCAATACCTAATGATAGGTTTAATGATACCAATGGTATGTTAGGAGTACAGACCTTATCACCTAATAGTATGCCTAGCAACCAGTCTGGGAGCATGTCTACATTGTCTCTACCCACAGATAGAAGGAGAGGATTTAAAATTCAGGGTAAAGCTAAAGGCTTGTATAACTTTAGTGCCCAAAATCCGAGGTAAGTTATGTTAAATTAATTATAAGACATGTCTATTTCAAATCTTTTTCTTTTTGGTGGGGGTGAGGGTATGTTTTATAATTATTAATTGGTTTGAATTTCACTCAGAATTTTCACTAGAAGTTTATCTCGTTTTTGAGTATTTGAGTATGAATGTAATGGTTTACAAGGTTTATATTGAAATGCTCCTTTTGAAGTAGAACAGAAGAACAGGATTTTCTTAACAATGTGTTTTATCTTTTCATATCATAGAGAGTTACCATTTAGAAAGGGTGATATTATTTACCTTCTACGTCAGATTGATAAAAATTGGTTTGAAGGTGAACGTTATGGACGTGTTGGAATATTTCCTGTTAACTATGTTGAGGTATGTAGGCATTTCCAATATACCTGTAATAATTTTCTTTCTGTGACACCCTGCTTCCTAATATTGGTACTTGTAAAGTACTTATCCAATACATTTTTGTTGTTGTAATCACATCTCTGAGGCAATAAATCATTACATTTTTGGTTCTTCCTTGTGCTTTTGTCATATATACCAGCAGATAGGGTTGTAAATGAAATGAGTTTTACGTCCTACTTTTCTGCACCATGTGGGCCAAGACGGGGATAGTAATTTGCTGTTGTAAGCCACTAGAAGAAGTAAGCATAGAAACTTCAGATTTACACTTGCTGTCCACTGATATATTTAGCAAAACTGATGAAAAATTATACTCTGTATTGACAGGTTATGACCTCGATAGAAGCAGCTCAGGCAGCAGCAGTTCAAGCTGAAGGTCAAGGTCGGGTCAAGTTTAATTTTACTGCCCAGTCTCCTGTTGAGTTGTCATTGAGAAAGGTAATAATTGAGAAAATATTAGAGGATTTTTGTAATTTTATGGGTGGAATGTTTCTTTAACATGTTAATGATTTGGGAAATGGAGATGTTTCTGCTCAAATCAAGAGACATTGAGCTTCTTTTGGATGATATAGTTCCATCTTTTTTTTTCAAAGAATTAAAAGAAAAAATAACCTTCCATAACCATTGGAGATGTTTTGCAACTGGTAGCTCAATATGGAGCTTAAATCATTCTATATAAATAATAAAATACTCTTATTATTTGGATTATAGGGAGAATATGTAACATTATTACGATCAGTAGATGATAATTGGTTTGAAGGTAGAAGTGGTAATAAACAGGGTATATTTCCATCAGCTTATATAGAGATTATACATGAACCTTCTACTCCATTAATAACACCAGCACCATCTGTTATTTGTACACCAATGACAGGTCGAGGTAAGATATCTTTTTATGTCTATTGGGAGCTGGCATGGCTCAACAAGGTAAGTAGTTAGCTAATCAAGGGTGTGAGGTTGGATAAGATGTAAAACATGATATCTTGAATTTTCAACCCATCTTCCCCCATGGAAAAAAAAATCAATGACTCAAAATATCTGCTTTTACTTTAATTCAAAAATTTTTTATTGATATTATGAAAAAGTTCTACCACTATAAAAATTATTTCTGTAAATTTATTTTTATTATAATCATTGTGTTGGTTTTCAATCAATAATCTTTAAAATTTTAAAATCTAAAGATGTATGACTTTTTTTGTATACATTATAGGTACACCAGAGATGTTATCACCTTTAGGCTATGATGCTCCCACCCCTCCTCCTCAACCTTCACCTAGTGCATTTAATCAACCCCGCTTCCCACAATCTCAACAATTTAATTACCGTCAACAGCCACAACATCAACAGAGTCCTGGTGCTCTGCGATCTCAGTCCAACCCTCTGTCACCTGTTATTAATCAGGAGCTAGAACAGAGAGTGTTCAGTCAAAAATCTCAACTCAGTCCAACTCAAGGTAAAAAACAAGTGACAATAAATACATCAGCATATCAGGATCAGAAAGCATCACCAAGTAAAGGATATGGAGTCAAGAGTAAAGTTGCTGATGATGATCTTGCCATAAACAGGTATGGTCTTCTAATACTTTTTTTTATGAATAATAGATTAATAGAAAATGTTGTTCCTTAAAATAATTGTCAACTAGTTAAGTGTCTTTCATGTATATTTGTAATCTGGCTAAATTGTATTGAAAGTAAATATTGTCTAAGTGAGGAAATCCTGGATCAGGAGACAAAATGATTATAGAATATGTTATATATTACAGATATCGAGCTGTATATGCTTATAAACCTCAGAATGAAGATGAATTAGAACTACAAGAAGGTGATGAAGTTTATGTCATGGAGAAGTGTGATGATGGGTGGTTTGTTGGTACCTCCGGTAGATCAGGAAACTTTGGTACCTTCCCTGGAAATTATGTTCAGTTAATCTGTAAGTTGATCAACATTTGTTAATTATCAAATGAAAAATTTTATGCAGGCTTTATCTCATTTCTGACATTTCTCTGTAATATTTTTATCTATAATCACTGTACTTAAAAAGGTTTTTTTTTGTTATTGCTCATTATAAGTCATAAATGCTTATATTTGGGTGATGGAAATTTAAATGTTCTATATTTTTATATTGCAGGATAGAAAGTGTGAATAGTAGAACAGATTGTTAATTATAAGAAATAATATATTTTATTATTACTGTATATAATTGATGCATGGTGACTAAAACAAGCATAAATTATTCTAATTATGGCTAGTTACTTGCCAAATTATATATATATATAGTGCTATTACTGTGACAAGCAAATTGTGTGCAGTGTGAAGTTTTAATGTTGGAACTATTGAAGAGTGTCATAAAGGGAGGTAACTGCAACAATGAAGGTAGCTCTAGTGGACCCAGATAGACTTGTTCACTGTGTTTTAATCAAGTGACAACAATGGCATCATATCCTATTTAATTGTTAATTTGGGAAAATATATGCAAGGAAATTAACTGGTGAAAACCAAGCCTTTGAATGTTTTTTTTGTAATTTAATATAGTAGTGTTCTGATAGATCAATAATAATGTTAATGGCACAGACACATTGGGTAAATTGGAGATATTTAGAAAATCTAAGAGCAGAATAGTTCCAATTTATTGAGTATGTCAAGAGTCTAATGAAACTACTGTGATAATAGCATGACAACTGAAATAATTTAACTTGTAAATATAACAGTTTGTATTATTACTTCTTAACTTAGTTATTTTCAAATTGACTTTAGTATTATTACTATACTTGCATTTTGTTATAATACTTTATTTTAGATCAAATTCCCCCCTTGTTGCTTTTTCTGATTGGAACTTTCTGATTGTAAATATGTTTTATTTACAAACAGACACAAATTATTTAATTTATATATCAGTAGGAATTATTGAGTGCCTTTAAGTGTGCACATATATTTTGCATAATTTTGCATGTTAATTTTATAATAAATAATATTTGATTATATATGTGTTGTGAACAAAATACAAGTGTTGTGCAGATTTATTCTCATTTTTGTCTTCATTTCCTTTGTTAAATTATAATTAATTCTTAAAATCTATAGCAACCAATTTGAAACTGACTTTCTTCAAGTTCAAACCATATTTATTTTTGTCCTTTTTACTTGAAATACTGACAAAAAAAATTTGATATAGATTGTTAATTGTTAAATAGAAATTCTGGACAGTACTATAGTGTTCATTGTGTTAGAACTTTTTTTATGCAAACATTAACAACGCAATAATTGATATTGTATATTATTGGTGCTAAGTGTTTATTTTGGGCTGTCATTTTAATCAGACTAAATTCAAAATTATTGTCTTCAATTTCAAAAGTATTAAGTTCATTGGAAATCAGATGTTTTGAAGCAAACTATAGAACATAATAGTTTGTCTCAATTTGAAGGTCTATCGATGAGTTTGACAGCCCTATCTTTTATATACATTTTGTGTTCATCATCATTTAACAAGATAACATTTAAATCTGAATAGTTCTGATGCTATTGAAAGAATTTACTCAACATGTGGTACTGGACATGTACATCAATTGTACTTATATGAAGTATAAAGAAACAAATTTTCAGGCAGTCATAAACATCTTTAATAAACATGTCTGTTGAACATCTTTATGGAACATCTAATGAACATGTGAGGTTATTTTACTATTGCTTCTGTTGTTATTACTACATATTGAAATATTAGTTATAATTCTGCATATAACAAACTTTACAGCTAATCTTTATCATTATATCCCTGCCCCTCCCATCCTAATTATCATTTTTTCTTTTATGATTTGATGTTTAATTTTTCTAGTTTTAATAAATTTTTTATTAGAAAGTCATAGAGGATGAAATTAAGGCTTTTATTTATTTATTCTATATCTTGGGCTAAAAAAACATTCTGTTGATGTAAATGAAATTTATACTTATTTTGTGGAACTGCATTACATTAGGCTTTTAATATTTAATAAAAACAACATTAATGATTTGCAAGCAAACAAATAGAAATATCTTAACTTCACAATGAACGAAAATTTTATTTTCAAGTGTAAATCTACACTTCGTTCTAGATTTCTGATCGTGAGAACTAAAAGTAAAAATGTTTTTTTTTCTAGCCTAAGATCAATCATAGACAGTAGAAATTTTTTGTTTGACTGTCCTGTTTATTACTTGTTGGTGCATGAAGAAAATAAAGAAAATATAAAAAAAAAAAACACTGAATCGTTATTCACATGTACCTTATGGAGAAAAATCTGACAGGAGACACAATATCCAATTGTTGTTCTTGATTCTCAGGATTATAATATGAAGGTTTGAATATTATTGTTGAGGATGAGAATCCCACCTATTTACGACATTTAAGTTACACTCCTTGACATGTCTTTATTACGGGCAAATCGGGCCTTACCTTAGTTTTTGTCATCAGTTATTTCCTCCGATTCATTACATACACAGGCAAGTGACGTAAGGTTTCAGGGAAGAGTAAAGTATCGAAGTCTTACTAAATGTAAGTCAAGTTCATTGGTTAACGACCTGACCGGGTCTTGAAGGCACGAGTTGCGCCCCTTATTTCATTATTACCTTTTCCAAACAAAATCGCAGCAAATGAGTTATTACCAGTTTATAGACCAGATAAACCATTCCTTTGGGTTTGTATGATTGATTATAGTGGCTTATCTAACAATCATTCGGTAAGTGGCTGAGTAAGGGCCGTAGTATTGATGAGGGCGGCTACCAGGCAATTTTCCCCAATAATTTGAGTTGAGAACCTTGACAGTGAGGGGGCCTAAGGCGAACCATAGCAATTTTAGCTCACTGGTAGTCGGTTGAATTGACTGTGTTTGTAAGTACGAGTTACACCCCTTTGCGGGATAACATATTTAGAGGAATGTTTGTAACTTATTCACGAATAAGAGAGAACTTTGGTCAACTCCAGCAAGTGCAAGATGTGTTCGAGTGATGTGTTCTGTCTCACAGTTTGTGTGGAAAGTTAGATTCAATGTTCAAAGCCCGAGATTCAACATCTTAACATATACATAGTTAGTCTAGGTCACCAGTCTTGAATTGTACCCCTTGTTACATGATTAATTATGCCCCTCCCTCAATAAAAAAAACCCCACCAAAACAGTAAGTTTTTAAGTCAAATAAAACGCCAAGCTTTATGATGTGTAAAACCCTATCATTCGGAAACATTCAACCGTATCCTATACATGAAAATATCACCAACAAGCACAGCGTATCAAGTTTCATTCAAATGGAAGAAAACGAAGATTGAAGTCATCTGAATGGAATTATGACGGAAAACCTTTCTTGTTATTAAATGAGGTTAAGAATCATCATTGGTTTTTATTTTTGTAAGAAAACGTGGACATAAAGATAGGTTAGCAGGTCAAAGACTAGTTTATTCAACTGATATATACACGGGTTTCAATATTATTTACAGTGTGAAAAATATACACACAACTTAACTTATGCTTTCTACAATAAAATTCAATAAAACAAACTCAATATCACAACAAACAAAAATAAATAGGAAGTTCTCACTTTTAAAGAAGTAACTCCGCAAAAACACAACCGCATGAGGAAAAGAGTGTAATATATAGCACCCATTGTCTATATATTATATATAAAGAATAAAACATTCCATTTGGCATTAATAATCCAGTAAATCATGATTTATATTTATAGACTGAAATACCACGAAAAATGATTAATATGAGGAGGGGTGAACATCGGATGATTCTTTTTTTTTCACAAATTTTTACCAAAACTTAAAGTTACGATATATCAAAGTGAACTATCAACTAAGCTAATACTTAAAATCTGATCACTCAGAAAACGAAAATTAGAAAATTAGTTTCTTTTTTCTTTTCGTATTTTTTCGAAGACAGTCATCCTACCCAATCGTAATAGGAGAGTAAAACATTTTCCATCCACTCATGAGCATACATATCATTGCTAAATATAAACTCTGCAGAAACTGGGACAATCTATAACTTGTGCCAAGTCTATTCCAAGGTTAGCAATTAATCATAACGATAGTCTACTTATATTAATTAATATGAAGCGGTTTATTAATTAATATTAGTTAATTAAGATCAGACCTATATTTACAATATTATAGTCTAGAGAAACTATAATGACTAAAAGTAAACAATAACAAAATTAACAGAAGGTAAGTATATAACAACAATATTAGTCTATAGTACTATCACAGTATCATCTGTCTCCCATATTAGGCTTCAACACGTCACTAATGTATAGGTATTTAGTTACCAATTCTTACGTTGCCATTATCTCAGCCTGGAACTCGCTATCAGGAGTCTGGTTGTAATCAGAACATAGTCTATAGTACTCTAAGATTAATCGCCCCAGAGATTAAGATGCTATGAAATATGATTTTGATAATCAAACCAAAATACCAGAAATTTGTATCAGGTCAATTCTATATTACACCTGTATTTTTGCGTTACCATGGTAGAAAGGTGTGTGCCAAGTTCTATTATAACAAATAACACTACCAAAGTGTTTCTATACGCCCGTTTCCTTGGCAACCAGATTAGCAGACGTTATAAGAAATGGAGATTTAATGTAAAGAATATATTTATACCCTGGTTCTTAAGTCTGAAAATATTGCTATAAGATTATACGAACTGACATACGTCATATCATTTTCAGGTCAAATCCACTTTCCCAACATTACTCAATATATCCACCACACAGCAATCTATCCAAAACGTACTGGAATAGTTCAAGTTTTTATATAAAATTAAAACGGAAACGAATAAACAAAATAAAATAAGGATGGAAAATCAAATATCGGACGTCTGTGGTTTAAATACATCTTGGAACACATATTGCACTCAAAATTATACTAAATTGAAAACCATGCTATTCACAAAAGAGGGCATTTAATTGTTTCGTTTTCTGGTTTTCTACGAATGTTAAGTTTCATGTACGACAAATCACATATCACAAATCTGAGCCAGGCAATTCTACTGGATGGGAACCATATCCATTGCTATACATGCCAACATTATTGTGTCCGTAGTAATTGGGAGAAGGTTGTCCACTACCACTGTAAGCACTGTAATTAGGAGAAAACATATTGCTATCATGCGGTGAATTATTTGATGGGGTCCAAATGGCAGGAGAAGGGGATTCAAACATTGGTTCGGGTGAAGATTCGTCTTCTTCCATATATTGTGAACCTCTCCAGGCTTTTGGTTTTGGATTATAATCTCTAAGTTGTACTGATTGCTGTTGTTGTTTTGGTTCAGGAGGTGGTGGCTGTTGATATACTTGTTGCTGTTGCTGTTGTGGCATTGACACTGAAATTACAGTAAAAAAATAACTGATGATATGTTCTGATGAATAGGGTTTGTCATATTTAGTGATAGACTTGTATTATGATGGATTATTTCTGGCTACAAAAATACTAAGAATATTGAGCTGCACCGTAAAACTTATGGAATCCCCAAGTCCACTGCAAATTTGCAGTTTAACTGCAGTTTTGCATCTTTGCGAGTACACTGAGATGAATAACTCATACAGTTTTACCAAACCTTATACAATGACAACTGACGTCAACTGAAAAGGCTTATGTTGATAGAAGAAATTGGCTATTATTCTAATGCTATTATTCTAATAGCGGAAACTTTGAAAACGATCCAAAGCATGGTAAATTTAATGTAACCTAGATCTCTACAGTAATCTATCCAATAATCAATAGAAAATTAGTTAATCTTCCGGGGTTTGGGAATCTGTAGCCATGTGTTCTTAATTACATTGTAATCATCACTGGAATTCAGCAGGCTAGATAGTCATGTCTGACAAAACTAGGCCAAGTCGATGTTCCAGGCAATGAAATTTATATCACTCTGTTGTTACTCATGGAATAAAATGACGAAGAACTACTTCCGGTGTAAAATCACGTCAGTCGAAAGTAGGTCAATAATGGCGCCATATTTGAGAGACTATATCAGACAAAAAGCAGATTATTTAAAGAAAAGGCATAGCATTTATCATTCAGGTTACCTGAATCAAAGTGGGATGTGACTAGCTCACGTGGCAAAAAGATCAGTTAAAAACATACGATGACCTAATTTAAAAATGTAACTTACCAGATTGACTGCTTGGTGCACCCCATCCTTTAGCTACTCTGTTAAAATTATGTCCCTCCAAAAGTGACGTTGCCTGATCAGTTTTTAAAGATGTATGGGAAACTGGAGTAATAACAATAGGTTGATGTTGTGTCACCGGCACGGGTTGCTGTGCTTTTGGAGGAGTATATCCTAAAATTTGATTAAGTCTTTGTTGTTTCTCAAATTCTGATAGATGCTCAAAAGCCGCGTTAACATCATGCCCCTTGGACGCTGCCTCCCAGGGCGACGTGTAAGGTTTCGGCGGTGACATGAGCATAGAATCCAACCTGTTAACTGGTGTAACTGGAGAAGTCTTTTTAGCATTGCTTTCATCGATAACCCATTTCTCGGCCTTTTTCTGTCGCTTTTCGAACAGTTTAGCACCTCTTCCTTTTCCAGATTTTAAATTTGCCACTAAGTCAAAACACTGATTAGGTGACACATTTTGATGTTCATTTTTCTGGGATTGAAGTCGCAGTTTTTCAAACTCATCTTTACTCAAACTCATTTTAGGTGTCGACTCGGGTGAGTTGATTCTATTCTTTAAGTTTGCTGGTACGCGGAAAGAGAAGAGAGGTTTACTTCCACCATCAGCCCAGGACAATTCACTATCTAGATCTAACAAGTTGGCCACATCATTACCACCTGCTGAGGACTGCTTACATGTCAATTCATCATGTATCCAATTCGGTGACTTCTTCTGTCTTTTGGCAAACATTCGTGCACCTCGCGCTTTCTTATTGGCTGCAGATGTTAGCGATAGAGCGATGGCCTTGCAAAGTTTCATCTGTTCTTCAATAGTGGGAAAATTCTTCTCTGGGTCGTTATAGAAGGCTGAATCTCCATAATGTTTCTCTACAATAATAAAAATTGATAATAGTCCGTAACAAATCAGAATCAGTTCAAGGCTAAATGATTTATAGACAGAAATGTTAATCACCAAGCCAAGGAATAATTATTATATAAGGTTGCGTATAACCATGGCCAGACCATGCTTAAAGATAGATTTCAGATAAATATTAAATATTTAAAGATATGCAATTAATTGGCTGCATAAATCACATATAGAATATTTGATAGAAAAGGTAACTTAAAAAAGAGAAAAATTAGAAATAAAGTAAGATTGGCAAAGTATCATAACTGACATGCCAAAATAATATAGCATTATGAAAACATGCAGACATGATAATTATATATAAATTAACATGCATTGTAACAATGTATAATATACTACTTGACATTGATATGAACCGTTGAATTTGGCTGGATATGAACTCAATTAATAACATATATAATGAATTTGTTTTAATCAGTAACTGACATTATTGTATGGTTGCCAACATGCGAGAGAACCATTTCGATGCAGCATCATTTGATTATTATTAGCGCGATAAGTAGTATTAATTGAATACTCTAATATTTACTGGGAAATAATTTAATTTATAACAAAACCATCAAGAGTCTACGACAGATTTCAAACATCATTAGATTTAGACAAAAACTGTTGAAAATGAGACTGCATACAAAATATACAGGAAAGTTATCATGCGAAGACAGGGGTTAAGCTAAGCATTTCTTACAGCAGACGCAGGAAAACCATGCACTTCTGCGGAAATATTTAGGCATAATGTATCTCTGCATCCAAAAATCATTTGCGACTGAGCTCTGTTTTACTTACGTCTATGCCAGAAGACATGACAACCCTCTCCTCAAGGTTTGGGTGTGCAAGGGTGTAAAGACAAACTTACTATGTCCAAGTGCAGAGGAGGTATTCGAAATATCACTCTCTAAACTAAAAGTACGTTGCAAGGCAAGATTGTGAGGCCTATAACCAAAAGGGGAACCAAAGTACCCACTGTCTGACAACTTAGGTTCTGGTTTATCCAAGCAGATTTCCACCGGTGGTGCATAAATATGTGGATGATCTTCTGGTCTAAGTTGTGGCGGCGGTGGTGGTGGTGGAGCTGGTTTAGGTTTTGGTGCTACTGGTGGTGGCATCTTCACCATAGGAACCGCCGGTGGAGCTTCATGAGCTCTTTTAGGGGGTGGGGCTGGTCTTTGATATTTTGGCATGTCCTTCAATTGCCAGACATTTAAAGTTGGCATTCTATCAACACCACTAGCAGGTGAATGTGGAGAGATGCTTCTTGGACTGTATCTCGGAGATCTCTCTGAATATGGTTGAAGAGAAAGTCGTCTTGGTGGAGGTGGAATATTTTCTTTCACTGCATTAGAATTATACATGGCGGACACCTGGACTTGCGGTGCTGGTGAATAAGATGGTGAACCAAACGGTTTAGCGACTTGATTTTGGTATAAAGTTGAATTCCATGGTTTTGGAGAAAAATTTGGTGTTTGTTCTTGTCTCATAAATGAATTAGTTTCCCGCGCTCGTAAACTTTCAGTCGGTACTGGAACTGGTACGTAGGTTTGAACATTGGTTCTCGAAATCGATTGAAGTGATGACGAGGAAGGAAAGTAGGATTGTTGACTTGGTGGAACGAAGCCATTTATATAAGATGCACTTGGCTGAGGCACCACTTCCATTTGGCTGAGATTCCCACTGAAAAGATAAAAAGCGAAAACACAAAATAACTAATCCTTAAACAAAATAACTAAAACACAAATTTATAAATCCACATGTAAGAATTAGTAATCCATTCATAATGATAAATATCGCTCCTAATAATCACCTATCATCAATATACTGGGCATAACAGGTCACTTTATGTGTTACGAAAGGTTCCATGGTGTCTAGAGGGACTGTACATGCTCTGAGAGCACGATGTTACAAAGAAACTCTACACTTGTCAGCCTATATTCTGGTAGAAAACGTCGATAGATCTGTGTGGTGTCATTAAGATGTAGGAATGTACGGTGAACTAAGGCGGTAATAATAATCTAGTATATATTACTCTACAATGACTGTATGGTATCAAATTACTTCATGATTTCTCAACAGGCAGAAGATGTTTTTATTCACCGTGTAGCATATTGATGCCGTTTGGGCCAGACAAATTCCTACTAATCTTTATCTATGGACGGACAGACTTATTGTTCCTCTCAAAACTAAAAAATATATCATAATATAATATTCAGATGCTTATCTCTGATAAATGCTACTTGTTGAATACAGAATAATGGCATTTACAGGTAATACCAGGTAAAAACAACTGTGTACCCTGCCAAGATTTCAGACTTTGTACCTAAATACCAGTTTCCTCTAATGTCATACATAAAGCCATTATTGAAGAGTTAGCAGAATTTTTCATATCCATATTTTCAACTATGAAATTTCCTTTATATGGCGTTGATAACGACATGCAAAACGAGGTTAATTTGTGAAACATCATTAATTCAGTCACAAGATCTTGTAAAATGATAAATTTGAATTAATTAAGTCTATTTCTTAGCTTTTTATAAAGTTAAATAAAAAAAAACCCGGTCTAACCTGCAGACTTCAAGAACTAATGTAACGCCCCCCGAATCTATCAGCTCCATGGCCTCTTCATGACTTTTGCCTTGAGCAGAGACACCATTAATGGTTAGGAGCGAGTCTCCCTCCTGGAGACCTGAAGTATGTGCCTGAGATTTCTTGCGAATCTGAAAAATACAAAAATCTTGACAATCAAGTTCTATTGCAAAAATATAGCTAATTGCAAATGCATTAGTTCATTTAGTGAAGATCAATAACAATTAATCACCGTGTCGTTCTTAAATCACTGAACACATGACAGTTATGAGATCACAGAGCGTCGTGACGTTCAAAGATCACAGAACATCGTGACGTTCGAGTCACTGATCATCGCGACGTTCGAACAAATGGGTGTTACTGTTATATGAGATCACAGATCAGCTTGACGATATGATATCACAGAAGACCGAGACATCATGAGATCACAGAACACCGTGACGATCTGAGATCACAAAATACAGCGACAGTCTGAGATCACAGAATACCGCGACATTCTGAGATCACAGAATACCGCGACATTCTGAGATCACAAATCACCGCGACGATCTGAGATCACAGAGCACCGCGACGATCTGAGATCATAGAGCACAGTGGCAATCTGAGATGACATAACAACCTGACGATCTGAGACCACATAACACGAATATTGTGACTTTCTAAGATCGCGGAAAACCGCAATTATGTTTCTGAAAAAATATAACGTCCATAACCATCTAAGATTATAGCACATGGTTATTAACGAACGCAATGACGTTTACATCAACGGACAGTGTCAAAGTGAGGAATAATTTACTTTTTACTTTACATCATAGGTATAGAGAAAAGGGTTATTGACAAATTATCAGGAAATGAATGAATGCCTCAAAGAAGTTCAAAGTGTTATTTGGAGGGCTGAAAAGATAAAGTACTGTATGCAATTAGTGGAAGAATATTGTTAACATATGTTTGACATATGTGAATAAAAAGGATGTACCAAAAGGTCTGAATTATTACTATTACCATGGCAACAAATATATTTAGCCAATTCTCATAGAAAGTTGTCGGCAACCCCCATCTCTATTGTCATGCCAAGTACGATTTTGTCATAATATTTATACACTTAGTTATCTCGTGTGTTAATACTAATAACAGCTTCTTCAAGATGCTATCATCATGATGTTTATAACTTATAGATAATAAGCTCAAAACATCTTGGTGCTCATAATTTCCAACAGTTTAGATATTTCAGCAAATTTTTTGCTCTCAATGTAATATCGGTAGATAAGTTATTTCCTCAGCAGATAAGTCTAGTTATTGCTCTTTTAAAATTCATCAACAGTTAAGTTCAGTTATTTCCCTATTTCTTAGTAGATGAGTACAGCCATTTCTACAATAAAATTACTCGGCTGATAAGTTCAGTTATTTCTCTTGTAGAATATCTCGTCAGATAAGTTCAGTCAATGGTCTCAAGATATCCCTCTGCAGACAGGTTCAGCTATACAGTAGTTATACTCTGTTGATAAGGTCCATTTCTCATATTATGTTCGTCGGTGGATACTTTTAGTTTCTGCTTTCGTTATATTCCTCTGGAGATAAGTTCAGTTTTTGCTCAAACAATATTCGTAGATATAGCTCTGATAATATTACTCGGTAGGTAAGTTCAGATATTTATCATATAATATTCCTCTGTAGATAATCTTAGCTAATGGTTTCACAATATTCATCTGCAGTTAAGTTTAGTCATTTCTCTCATGTTCCTCGTCAGATAAGATCACTTATCTCTGTCATAATATTCATCTGTAAATTAGTTCAGTCATTTCTCTCATGTTCCTCGCCAGATGAGTTCAGTTATTTCGCTCATAATATTCAACTGAAGATTAGTTCAGTCATTTCTCTCATGTTCCTCGCCAGATGAGTTCAGTTATTTCTATCATAATATCCATCTGTAGATTAGTTCAGTCATTTCTCTCACGTTCCTCGCCAGATGAGTTCAGTTATTTCGCTCATAATAATCACCTGAAGATTAGTTCAATCATTTCTCTCATGTTCCTCGCCAGATGAGTTCAGTTATTTCTCTCATAATATTCACCTGAAGATTAGTTCAGTCATTTCTCTCATGTTCCTCGCCAGATGAGTTCAGTTATTTCTCTCATAATATTCACCTGAAGATTAGTTCAGTCATTTCTCTCATGTTCCTCGCCAGATGAGTTCAGTTATTTCGCTCATAATAATCACCTGAAGATTAGTTCAATCATTTCTCTCATGTTCCTCGCCAGATGAGTTCAGTTATTTCGCTAATAATATTCACCTGAAGATTAGTTCAGTCCTTTCTCTCATATTCCTCGCCAAATGAGTTCAGTTATTTCTCTCATAATATTCACCTGAAGATTAGTTCAGTCATTTCTCGCATGTTCCTCGCCAGATGAGTTCATTTATCAATCTCATAATATCCATCTGTAGATTAGTTCCGTCATTTCTCTCATGATCCTCGCCAGAAGAGTTCAGTTATTTCACTCATAATATCCACCTGAAGATTAGTCTGGTTATTTCTCTCATGTTCCTCGTCAAATGAGTTTAGTTATTTCTCTCAAAATATCCACCTGAAGATTCAGTCATTTCTCTCATGCTCTTCGCTAGATGAGTTCAGTCTATCTCATAATATTCACCTGAAGACTAGTTTAGTTATTTCTCGCATAATGATTGTTGGCAGAATAGTTCAGTTCTTGACCACATAATATTCTTAGGTATATAAGTTCAGTTAAAAAAAAGATCAAATACACAATATTAGTTATATGAACTCTCTGAAAGGGATGCATACATCGTAGTGGTATCAGGTGTTCCGGAAGGGTGATTGCATTCATAATATTATCTGCAGTAATATTGGTTATCTGGAATACTGGTAATTTATGCCCTATAAAAGAAGGGTCATACTTTATGTGTATTTGTCGGGCTATGTTTATATATACTGCTCATTATTTGTGCGGAGTTGCTTGATGAACATAGTGGATTGGTAGAAATTATAATCGAATTTCATCAGTCTGTGTTTACAACATTGATGTAAGATTACCATTCACACTGATAACTAGCGAATTTGGTAAATGAACCAATATTATAATTATTGAGATGGTTAGATATCTTGGTATATGATACACTTGAGCTAAAAGTTTGAAGGCAAGTGGTAGCTTTACAGAAACATGTTTTCCAAGGTTAGTGGCATTAAAAAGAAAGTAAAAGCAGACCTTGAAAATACGTTCTGATATGTTAACATTTGAAAATGATGATGATAAACATATGTGCTGTAATGCTATCAACAGGTGTATAACAATCTATATTTATAACAACCAACCTTTACTCTCCAAGTCCTATCCTAGTTCGTTTATGTTTTTTACTCTTATAAAAAAGTGGTTCCGTTTTAAACAAATGATTAAGGCCATCTTTTGAAAAATGCTTTGCATTGTATTGTTTTATGTATCAAAGAAAGTACTTGCCAAAAACCTATATAATCTCTCAGTATAGTCTGAATATTGGAAGCAAGGATTTAAAACGTTTCATTTATTGTTTGTAGCCAAAAGGAAGTGTCCTCAGTCGGTTATTTTTTTTCGTTAGTTAAAAGCCAGTTCGACATACATGATTATTAGTAGAACTATATGTGATTTTTGGCCAAGAACAGTGTCCATGGCCGGTTGTTAATAATAATATAATACATATAATAATTTATTGGTCGTACATATGACAGAAATGTTCTTTTATTTGGATTTCTTTCATTTTACATGTCTGTAGTTGTTGTCATTGAAACACATATAATGAAAAACTGCAATATATTTTTGGTTAGCCCATGCAAACAGTAATGGGGTGTAACGATCCAAATTGTTATCTAAACTTGATGGACTGAATATTTTAAAAAATTCAAAATGGCTGACAAAACATTATCAATATTAATTTCATGACTGAACTTGAAATTTGCAACGATGTCAGAGCACGAGAAAGCAATGTTTATAGCAAATTTGTTCGTTGGCAACTTTTTCATCACATTTGAAATATTGGGAGGGTTATAATGCTGCGAACTGTTTGCCTACCCTTCTACGCCATTATGGACAATGGACATCCTTATGCAACAGAATGTTCTTCATCACAGTCAGAATTATTAAAGCAAACCATTTTTGTTTAAAAAGGTCAAAGTCTGAATATAAATCTTTACAAAGACTATCAGACAATTACCAACGGTGGTGTCTTGCAGCCAAACATCGACAAGGAGCACCAAGAAATACCTTGGTTGTCATGACAATAGTACATATAGATAGATATTAAATATAGATAACAATCAAGATATACATACAAAAGATGGGGTAATTTTATTGGCTTACCTTTGATACCTTCAGTTGAGAATTCCCTCCACCCTGGAGTCGAAATCCCCAGGGAGCTCCTCCTGTCAAGGTTAAACGTCTCCTATTTCCAGTGCCCATTTGACCAGTATATTGTCGGTCTCTCCAGATCTTACTTCGAACACACCCCAATTTGATCACTGGTTAACACTCTTACATAATACTCCAAATGTTTTCTTGGGGTGAGTGGAAATCAACGACTGGCCCTGAAACAAAATCAACCAAAAAAATATAACTCATCAAGTGATAATATCATCTGATTTCCTTAACAGTGGCAGAAGAATGTAGAAATACGGTGTAAACGATAACAGCGCCAAGGTGAACATATAATTGATGAAACTTACAGGAATTGGCTCCTGTGTGAAAAGTGGTTAATACCAACGTTTACATGAAGGTACAATATGTAATAGAATATACAATTTCTAAAAATACCAAATGTTAGTATATATAGCTGTAGATACCGGGTATAGCTGATATACTTTCTTCACAAGATGTTATTTTAAATCATTTAATTTGAAAGTAAATTCATGTAGAGAAATAGCACCGTGTTACCTGAAGACCTTCATTTTTATTTCTATTTTCTGTATATTATGGTACGATACTGGTCATTTTTAAGTTAGAAAATGAGCAAAAAGCAAAGTTTAATATCAAAATCAAAGTGTAATATTGAAAATATCCCATTGCTGGTATTTTATTTAACAAATTACCCGGCTAAGAAATATCACCAGTTGTCAATAAATCAAAACATGTGAACTAAAATTTTTATTTCACCCATACTTCCATTTTGCTAGTTTAAACAAAGTCCATAAGAAGACAACATAGAAAGTCGAATCCATTTGCATATAGGCCTACCTCATGTTAATAGAAGAGCATATGGGTCGTGGTATATAATTTATGTAAAAATTTGTCAATAGGAAAATCAAACTTTAAAATTCGTACCTCTATCGTATATATGGTGTCGACCAAACATCCTCGCAGCATCGAAAGCAAGTTTTTTGGGCAAAAATCTCACAACTAGGTTAGAAATTCGGGCCATCTCAGATACATTTCGCCCCTCCCCCCTCGGACGTAAACCTAGCTCCGCCACTGCTTGTAGCTAGGTAGGTTGGAGTGTTTAGGTGATGATCGAAGATTTCTAGTAGAACTTTAGCTCTTTATAATGTAGCTGTTGGTTCAGATTGGTCTGTAGCCAACATGATATAATAGAAATACCCCTCTGTACCTTTACCTTGTACAATATCAAACTGGTAGTCATCAGGTAACTTTGTACAGTGTACATCTGGTGTTTAAAAGGTTATAATGTCTATCAATCGACAATACTTCATCCGCGTTTATTTTCGTATAAATCTTATGTCGAACTTTCTTGTCTTGTCAAAAAGGATCATCTGTGAACCATAAGGTTGTCCATTGTCTGACGACGTCGTCGACTATAAGATTTTGTCATTATCAATAATGTCGTGTCCTTTCCACTTGTTCTTGTACAACATTAGCAATTTGGAGCGTATATTGTCATGCCTCAACATACTTTAGGTAGATCATCACACAGGGGACAAGATGAACCCCGTCGAAGCTAGGGATAGGAATTATTTGAACACATTTCATTTCATGGAATATTCAAATTATCAAAGAGAAAATGAAACACAAGTTCACAAGCGGACAAAATCAAAACGTTAGACATGAAAATGGCTCCTGGCCATTCATGCTCATTCTATATGGAAATGAAGGACAAAACAAGACTTTTGTTCAAACTACATTAACAAACCAAACGAAATATAAAAGTGCACCACGTGTATGTGGAAGATACTTGTAGTCTAAAGTATTTTATTCATCGATAAAAAGCAAACAGCATTTCTATAGAGGCATCTGTATAACTTCATCCAAATGGGTTTATCTTGCCAAAACTAATTGATAATGCCGGGAGCTAGAGTTTGTCATATTATTATATAGGTCGTATTTTGGCCCCGTAATGATATGTACCAGAATTCTCCAAATCAAAAACTAAAAAATGTCTTAGAGGAGAACCCTCTTAGACGCTCCATGGGGGCTTGTGGATCTGTCGCATATTGAATCGACAGTTGCCCTCCTTCCCCAGACAGTCCGGTCCCCTATTTGTATCCCAAGTTTCGTGAGACTGGCTCCGCCACTGTCTGTAAAATCTAAGTCGTATATGCGTCTATACTTGAAATTCGGTTCGGGCTTATTGTACAGGGCATGCCGGTCGATTTATATGGATATCTTCTAATGAAGAGCACATTTCCGCGAGACTCAAATATGAGACAGTTACTCTTTTGAAGAGATAATAGAAATAACAATGGTAAAAAAACAAACAAATGAATCGATTTTATAAACAAAATTCATCAATATAAAATAATCTGAAAGAACCCAATTGAATAGGTATATAGACTACAGGTGATTCACATTCCTGATGTTTTTGGCATTTGAATTGTTATTGAACCACCTACGATATATCTGGTTTTAAAATAGCTACCAGATTACTTATATTATACCTCTCTATCATATACTGGCATGTATAGCACTCGAAACCCTCAGTTTCCACAGTAACTATTTTAAAATGTGGTCGGTCCTGAAAGAATGATTGCATTGCAAAATAAAAACGGATGGCAAACAGTATTTGTGGACACAATGCACCCTGCTGTTATCTGTGTCTTCTCCAACGCGTATCTCGAAGATTTTCTGGTGTCCTTCATTTCTCCCCAGAAATACTAACGCAAGCATCAGATATTCGCAAGAACGCCATGCAATTAATCGGGTCAAAATACCACATTTTTGAAAATTCATAGAATCGAAATGTCTGGTCATCGGATAATACTTATACAAGTTATAAACTATGTTATATTATAATGGTAAAGACAACATTGCATTTCACTTGACATCATCAACCACTGGCCAACAGGTCATTAATAGATTTACCCTTCATTGAAGATAAAATTAATGGCGTAGGCGAAGAGGGATAGAGATTTTATCAGTGTCTTAATCAGACAATGGTAGAAAATATTTGACGAGTGCTCTGCACTAATGCAAATTTCTTAAAAGGCCAACAGTATTTTCGAGGGTTGATTTTTGGCCCTGAATATGTATGTTTTCAGAAGTAGTAGAAAAAATCATTTCTTAGAAATCCCACTTTCTATTTCTATCTTCAGTAGTATCTCCCCATCCTGAAGAGTGTCGGCCTACGTCTTGTCCATAAGATTCAGAATTAAAAATACAATGAAACTTGCTTAATATTGAACTAATTAGTTGTTTTGTATCAATTTATTGCTCATGCGCGCTTCGCTCATGTCAACTGGAAGGATCATGAGAGATGCTTTGTATCGCCAATTGAACCGAATTCCCTGTGAACAAATGTCATTGTGAGCAAACCATATGATGTGGTATGTGAAAATGTGACAATCATAATTCTTTGTCTAACAGATTTATCATTGAGAACGGTATACATTACTTCTAAAGTCTTCATTGGTATATTCCAGTTTTTCAAGATACTATAGTATGTGGGTTATGAAATATGGCAGCATTGATAAGAGTTAGTGATGGTCAGTTTTCGCTGTTAATTGGTAAAGTACAAACATGTGTACAGAAAGGTACGGTACATGGTAGATTTAGATACATATAATGATGATAAGTAATTAGATATATCTAAAGTAAGATAAACTTCTTAATATCAAAAGGTTTCAAGTTATTTTAGCAGCATCGGGTCCATTAAACGAAAATTCACTTGATAAGTAAAAGAATTTTACAAGAGTTGAAGGATTAATTCATACAGTCCATTAGACTTCAAAATCATATGAAATGATCGTGTCCGTCTAGGTAACATATACAAACAAATACTCTGTAAATATATCTTTCGGTTTGTTTACAATGCTTATTTTTTCTAGAAGTAAGCAGATTAGAATATAGTTTATTATATTACACTCTCAGATTAAGATGTGGAAATGTCTATTGATGAAGAAGTAGGATTAAATTTTGGATTGAGTTTAGTAGGATTAGTAGCATTTGTCTTTTGAGTAAAGAACTATGAACTATCTATCTGTAGTGTGCACCGACTTTCTGTGCATATTTTGAAATATATTTATAAGAGTTGACAGTGAATATTTTGGTGAAAAATATTAGAATATATATACAAATGGGAATTTAAATCATATGCAAATAGAATTAATTAAATGAGGATAACGCCCTCTATTGACATTAATTAAAAAAGAAAAAAAAGAAACTAATATTAATTGTTGAACATCACAATTCACAATTTTTTGGTTTTTGTTTTAAATACAAAAACATGCAAGCATCTCTGTTTACTTCACTTTATAACTCGTGTGCCATTGCATTGTGCCAAAATGTGGAATGTCTACCCCGCGGAAATGCGGGTAAGGACTGAACATCGGGTGATATTATGGACTATCAAGGTGCCAATAAATCATGATTTTTATCACTCAAATAATAAACATTCCATAACCAAAGATTCTAAAACGTGTGTCAATTTACAAAATAATACACAGTGGCTTAAAATAGACGGAATCATGTACCATTATACACATACGGCCTTCAAATTCTTAATAACCTACACCGTGTCTGTTTTTGCTCTTAACTTTTAATGTAACCAGAAGTTTTTATTTCTAATCAGCGTAAACTATACAGAATTAATGAAACAGAAGTTTACATAAGAAAATGTTAGATAAAATGATTTATTATCTTACATACCTTAATGGAGAATTGAGAGGTATTTCTTCCTCCAAGCAGTGTGCTACTAATGGAAATCTCCCAAACGAAATGCGTGTTGGGATAGAAGGCGATTGAAATGTGATGAGCAATATGGAAAGGTCGTTAGCTATAGGTCATTCTCTCTTTTCTAAATAGAAGCTGGAAGACGAACAGCTGTGAATTTATTGTAATAATAAAATATTGAACATAGATTGCAATGTATTTACTACCTATAATAAATACATTTAGACGCAGGGGTTCTCCCTGCTTCACCCACTGTCTGTCAAAATATGATTAATTAGCATATTTAATAGCATTACGCAATTATTGTAAATGTTAATCTAGATAAAGGTTATTCTATTGCTTTATAGTAATTATCGGAAATTTGATTTGATTTAACAAACTCATTGAAATGTTTGAACGATCTGGAGTCTATATTGTAAATTGATACTAAATTACTAAATTTTTATGAAATTTCCATCAAATTTTTAGATCTTAGTATCAACGTTTTACTTCAAGGGAAGGAATTCTCTGCAATTCTGCAACTCCCTTTTGATGTCAAATTCATATATCACAGGTCTATCCGTTCTAAGTTTTTCTCATCCACATGTCAAAATTTTGCTAAAAATAGTGAAAATGAAATGAAACGAATATAGCTTTACGTCTTACTTTTCTGCATCATGCGGGCTAATGAAGACGGGTAACGCCATGCCTTCATTAGCCTGCTCTTTTTCGATTTCGAGAGACTATTCGACAGCATCTAATCTGATTGAAATATGATTGACGACGACCCATAATAATGTCTTTGGAGAACTGTACCCCATAGATCCCCGCTACCATCATTTACTGTTTCATACTCTTTTCCAAATACGGATGCTTCCTCACTGCAGCCCCTCGTCTTGACTCTTCTTCTCATCTACTCTCCTATCTCTTATTCTTTCCAGACTAGGTCTTTTACCTTCATACTTGCTTCCTTCTCATTGCTCTCCCCCTTTCCCTTAATCTCCAATGTTCCCCACCACTTCACTTTAAATAATTGTCTCTGATCCAATTTTCCCTACCTCCCTTTGTTTCCATGCTCTCTCCTGGTTCTTCCGTGTAGCCTAATACTTTTTCTTCATTCCCAAGATTTCTTTCCTCTAAACTTTCCGTCTCTACTTTCCTGTCTATTTACCCTGTCAATCTTTTCCTAATTTTGCTAAAAATAGTGAAAATGAAATGAAACGAATATAGCTTTACGTCTTACTTTTCTGCATCATGCGGGCTAATGAAGACGGGCAACGCCATGCCTTCATTAGCCTGCTCTTTTTCGATTTCCAACTGTCGAAGGATCTTTGCACAGCCCGTATTCATTAATGAAAGGGACTAGACAGGAGTATAAACAGATGCAATTGAATCAAACTTTATTATAGTCAACATTGAAAATCTCTCCTTCGGTAAAATTTGGGTGTTTACCAATAATTTCAGTACAGATCTGTATCAGTAGGCCTACAAGACTTGTTCTGGTTTGGTATCATTTACCTTTGTAAAATCAGGCCTCATGGTTACCTGTGAGATCTTGTCCGAAGTGGGTTTACTGATTAACCATTTCAACACTGTGTGTAATTTTTCTTTATAAGATTTCTGCTTTTACGAGTCTATATCTGACAGGCTTATCTGGTCCATCAAGGCTCCCAATTGTAGGCCTAGTTCACACTCTCTTTTCTCTATCTTTTGAATTGCTATTTTTTTTTTAAAGTTTCATCTAATTTATGTTCAGATTCAATATTTCCTTTTTAAAGTTTCAAATTGTCCTATGAATGTTCTAGGTGTAAATTATATATACAGGTGTTGTTACTTGCAGTTCAGTCTGGTTGTTAGGCTACTGTTAGTTCTCGTAGTTAATTGGCTAAAAAAAAGCAAAGGTCCAAACTTGGGGCATGTGTTGGGTAGGATTTAAAACCGACTATTTTCCCTCCTTTACTACTAGTGATCAAATCAGCAACATTTTATCACATGAAGTAATTTTCATTTGATAGATCATGAGGTAAGCTTATATTAACACAAATACGGTAATACATTCTTTTTATCAAATGAGCTGGACATTTCTGAAACAGTTTCAAGACAAGTGTTTCCTTTTTTTTCTCAAAACAAGAGTCAGAAAAGGGAACAGAACAAATAACTGGTGATTAAGAAGGAGTAATTTTAATTAAGTCTCCTCATAGGCCTACTCATCACCCATTTTTTCCTCAAAACCTCATCTTTAGGAAAACTGTAACAAACAATTCAGGTTCAAATCTAATATTCCCAAAGACATTTCATTTTCATTGTGGTAAGTATTTCCATCAACTCAAAGACAATCTAAGACTTTCACTTCAGAAGTATTTTGACGTAGATCGATATTTCAATTAAAACAAAAAATGATTGGTAAAATGGAATATATCAATTGTGTCGGTGTTATATTTATGCCTATTATGGTCTACTGTCAGAGTGGCCAAACAGATTAATATGACAAAAGTAGGGTCAGTTTGTAAACCGTACAAACACACAAAGTTTACCAGTAAAAAGTAACTGAGAAAACCACCATCTTGTTTGTTTGCCCTTAACCGGAAGTGAATTCGTATTACGCGCCGAAATGTAGTCTGCTTCATCCGTTCTGCTTCATAGGCTATGGTACAAGTCAGTTTGATTTTTTTTAAATGATCGTAGCTTACCTCCATTTTCAGTGTTCTTGCTGCATTTGTATTTTAATTAGAATATCCACAGATGAATAAGCATCATTTTTGGATGTTGGTTTTGATTTCTCTGAACTCAATGGAGAAATCATTTCAGCAAGTTGATGTGAAGAGTACCAGTGGTGATATTATTCCAGAAACATTTGACGGTTCAGCAGGCAATTTAAAGTTTTCAAGCCCTTCATTGCCAGATGATGATGACAGTATTATGTTGCCAAAGTCTGTCAGATGTGATGGTTGTCTTTCTTTAGCTTATCAGGTAGCCTAGATCCTTGAGTTTGGTGCTGAAGTTTTTTTTTTATAGATTATCCTCTATGCCTTTGTCCATTTAGAAGACATGGAACTTGTCTTAATGACCTTTTAGAAGAAACCAGTGACTTATTGTAGGAATAAGTAATGTTGCTAAACTTAAAGCTCTTGGTTTGGGGTAAACTTTAAAACTGAAATGCTATAAGCAACAAATAGATGATTGTTATTGTGTAAAAAATGATGGTAGAAAATTGCCACCAATGTAAATTCCTCTTGCCAGTTTCCCCAAAATTTGACAGTTTTGTTTTTTTCAGATTATAGAAGCATTTGATAAAAGTCATTCAAAAAAGAAATCTGTTAAAATATTACCTGAAACTGATGTTTTAGACATATTAGATACACTATGCAGTAGTAAATTTGATGCGTAAGATTTTGTTGTTTTTTATATGATATGTAATTGAAAAATTGTGTACATTAATTGATTGTAACCTGAGAAAAGTCTTAAATGAAGATTTCGGAAGTTTAGCCAAATTAAACTGATCATACAGTACGTTTAGTGGTAGACTGTTCTAACAATTTGTCTTATTGGCTTATGATTTTTGTATTATCATGCCTAAAACGCCTAATCTATTTTTTGTAGAATGGGTTTAAGAAACGTAGATGGTGTAACTAAGTTAAGTGGTCCTGGTTTAGACATCACAAATCAACCTGGTATGATTATGAGTGGTGGCAGATGGCATCAAAGGTTTGTAATACAGTTATACTAATGTTGACTTTACGGAAATTACAAAAGTATATCATTGATATGTGGCGCCAGGTGTTCCTTTAGAGTGAGCATGCATTGTGTAGAGACACCGTCTACAGGACCTATAATGAAGATCAAACAAGTCTTATGGGCTTCGACTCGACAGCTTCAATCTCGGCGACAGTCCTTTCTTACTCCTAAGTCACTTTAAAGGGATGGATGTACCATTTTGGGGGTTGATTTTAATCTTGAATATATGTAAATAGTCTACAGAAGTACTGGAAATGTACAAAATTGCATAATTCCTGTAAAAAATACTTCAATCAGGGATAATTCTAGACACACGTGGATTTAAAGGCGCAAATTTCAACGCTAAGCTGTAGACACTATTACTGATTAGCTTTGCTAAAAAATTCTCGTTCCTGAGACTAAAGTATGATTGGTCCAAAAAAATGGCATCTGTCCCTTTAAGTGGTGTGTAGAGGTTGACTTCAATCTGAGATTAAATGTACAATCTTACTTTGAACTTTGTATATACAGTCTAGATTTTACAGTCTAGTGATAGGCAGCATTTGAAATATCCTCTTCAATTGCTGGATTTTGATCAGTGCACAGACAACTGAAGGGTGACATCAGTTGCTCATTTTCTAGCAAAATTCAAAATCATAGACGATCTTGGTAACTAGTAGTGGGTAAAGTTCTCAATATAAGCATTTTGTTTATGTCCTTGCAACACACCAAATGAGATGCTAATATACCCTTGAATGTCCAATTAGATCTTACAGTATGGTTTACAGAGTGTTATAACTTATAATAAATCAAAAACCAAATAAAAGAATTAAATTTTAAACTTTCTTTATAGAATGAGATATTTATGTGGTAATATTGTTGGTGAAGTTGGAGAAGAAGAAATATATGATAATTATTTATTTAATAGAAATCATATGGGGGATGTTTTATGTCGAGGAACTGGGGTGACTAATAGTTGCATTGACGCAAAAAATAACCGAAAGAATGAAAAATTGAAAAGAAAGGATGAGTTCTAGTTGTATTTTGTGCCTTTAAGTGATCAAAATGGATCATCCTTTCTCAGGATTTCAGTCTTTCTTATTAAAAATGATTGATAAGTAATTTTTATGTTTTAAAAGGTTCAGAAGGTTGTTATTTACAATGGTATTTAAAACTTGGAAAGTCTTTTTACATTTTTATTTGTAGTCTGATTTTCTCTCATCAATTGATGATTTCATAAATTGTTCTCTATTATAAATGTATGAAAGTATGTTTGTGATAATTTTATTTTGCTTAAGAGATGTTGGAAAATTTTATTCTGTGATTGAACAGATTTTTGTTTAATGAAATTTTAATTTATTTCCATATACTTGTCTTATATGACAAATTTGAGATAAAATTGCTATTATATCATGTTCCCCTAACAATAAATATGACCCCTGCATGAGTTGGAGACAATGCTAAGGTAAACCAACAATTGCAGTTATTTTAGTAGTCTCCCTTATTGTAGTTACCTCCCCTGACACTATTATTTCACAACAAAGTGAAAGTCGGGACTTGCATGATTAGCTTATGATAACAATCATTATAAATTTAAAGAAAAGTTTGGACATTATTCATGCCTTGATCCCGAAATGGCCAATAAGTCAAATAAAAGTGCTGTTGTCATAATACCACCCAAGAGTGTATGGGAGCAAATTCAAAATATAAGAAGGTAAGAATGTCCACTTTGTAGGCATTTGGAGGAATTCTACCATGTAGCCTACATTATATTATGGATTTTATCCTTAATTTTTGAAAGCATAGACTAAATGCACCAAGAAGGCCTGTATGAAAATGCATTTTTATAGCCTATGACTATAGGCTTCAATTTACATGATATGCATTATTTTTTTTCAGTAAATTTGATAAGGCTTATGACAGATGGATGCCCCATATCAACTTAATCTATCCATTTGCTCCTGATTCTGAATTCTCAAATTTACTGCCAAGATTGAAAGACCAATTACAAAATGTTGCACCTTTTACTGTTGTTTTTACTAAAGATTCCATTGGATACTTTGAACATGGACAGAGGTGTGGATTATGGTTAAAACCTTTGATACATTCCCAGCAGTACAGTAGGCCTACAGATTCTGTATCTTCTCAGGTATGGTATTAAAAAATAATAGGCTACAAGGCCTATTCATCTTTCATATAGTAGCCAGTTTGAAGCAAAATTGTTCTGTTTTGTATTTGCCATATTACAAAGTTGTGCCATGTATTTAGTTTCTTTGCAATTATGCCTTATATGAGCCCCCAAAACCTGATTGATTTAATTAGATATTTGTTAGACTTTTATATAATTGACAAACTTTAACTTAAATACTCAAATGCTTGTTTTATAGAAATCTTTAGTGATACCAGAAAAGACCAATGTTTGGGCATCACAAACAAATAAAGATCGACCAGCAGTTAATTCAAACAGCAGTAGTTCTGTACCCAGTCTAGATAATCTGAGATATGCTGTTTGGCAACCAGAGGAAGTGGAAGTGGAAGATAGCAACATGTCTGTTGTTGGTCTTCATAATTTAAGAAATGCCATTTGGCTGCCAGGAGAGAGTGACTCATTTCCAATTACCTCATCCAAGGAATCACCTGTCAAAGTTGCAGTCAGTAAATCAAAGGTAACAGGAACAAAGCCTCCAATCCCATATTCTGAGAAATGGGATGTTAACATTCCTGCAAGGACAGACATTTTTCATCCATCTGTTATGGATTTACAGAATCATCTTCAGCAACTGTTTCCTAACTTTAATGACTTAAATGTTATCAATGAAAAAGGATTTCAACCACATTTGACTTTAGGTCAATTCAAGCACAATGAAATTCAAAGAGTAGTAAATGATTTAAAACAAAACTGGAAACCAGTAAATTTTAAAGTAGATGAGATTTTTCTAATAAGTAGGAAAGGCTTTTCAGATCCTTTTGAAATAAGAGATTCTGTTGCATTAGGAAATTGAGCTCAACACCATCAATATCATTAAAGTGTCACTGTTGGCCAATTTACTGGGTATATTTATAAATATTTTTCTCATTGTTTTTTGTTATATATCATATTTTTTAATAAAGGTTAAAGAAATGTTTTCACCAAAAATCAACAATAACCGACATTAATGGAAACCCAAACTGCACCATATTTTTTTACCCAACTTTTATTGTTGACCCTGGGATGAAAGACTCAGTTAAAATCTTGTTTTTAAGCACACACACCTTTTTAATGGATGTGTCTAGAAATTTTCAATAGGATAAGACTGGTGTGATGGGATGATCTTGCAGATTCCTATGCTCAGGTTGACTATCTGACACTCTTGCATGTTTGCCATGTGCTCTAATGTTTCAGGCAAATACTAAGATTGGTAGACTCCTTTACTTCAAAAATATGTAATCTTTATGCTTTGCAATGTTGTACTGGCCGGAGATGTTTATTAAATAACATTAAAAAATATCTTTTATTATGAACAGAATGTGTACATGGAATTATTGTTAAATTATAGGAAACCGTAACACAATGGAAAAACAAAACAAATAAAATCTTAACTTAAAATGTTAACAATAATAGAATATAACAGAAATATTAATGTCAATAAATAATAACCATGGTTTAATATTGTCTATGGTTTTATAACATAAATACATCTCTTTCATCCCGTCCATACAAATATCATATGATGAAGCTTTCCAGACAGCTGAGGTCAGCTGAAACTTTTCTCCTAGACTATTTGCTCACATAATGTCAATAAATTGCAAATTCAAGTGCTTAAGAAAACTGCACCACATACAAGTTGAGCAGTTATTATGACAGCAATGATATAATGAGACATCTCATCTCCCAGTGCAGTGAGTGTTTTTTAGAATACAAGTATTATTTACTTACATTTATACCATGCTAATTTACAAAACATTATCAAATTCACCGTAACATAATTATGTTTTAAGCAATTGTGGTTTTTACATACTTGGTCAATAAAGAAACAAAACTGATTTAGAATTACTTTACAGAGTTTGAAAAGCCTCTTGTAATATTTTATGCAAGTTATTCGGAAATGGCTTTCTTAATAGCATCTTATTTAATATAATTAGGCGCCATATAATATGCAAATTACTAATATATAACTTAAAAGGCTCATACATAATACATCAGCATGGAATATTAGGACGGAGAAATGTATTAAAAATCAGGTCCCTCGTATTATTATGTAATATTTGGAATGTACACATTATTACAACCATCATTAATATACAAAATCAAAACCTCATGATAAATATTTATACATACAAGGCTTTTCTGGATATGTTGACATTCTGGATATTGCAGGAAGCACATGATTTGAATGGTATAATAAATGCTATTTACTCTTCAAATGGATAACGGTATCTATATTTTTGCTAAATTAGTTGTATCAGTCTTCAATATAAAAAATCAATCTTGTGTTAGGAAATAATAAATTATACAATCCAAATTAAAAATTGTTTGAGTATTAGTTAACCTCAGGTCTCCTAAATATAACAAAAATAATATTTAATAATACGTTTAACAATCAATTGGTTCCATAATTTCAAATAGCAGTTTTCTGAATTACATACATTTCAGAAGCATGTCAACTAATATAAAAGATACATTATTATCATGTTATGTAATATTATTTGTATTACATAGGCATAGGACACAGGTTGCTGAGAAGGGTGCTTTTGTCGCAAAATGCTTGAGCAAAACTATAACATTTATTGGGACATAATTGATCAATAATTTTCTTAGGCTTTATATTCTCAGCAACCCCTAATAATAAAATACCACATGCCTATATATTGATATACTGGTGATTGTGCTTCATTCAAACAAACCAAAATACCACGCCAAGTTTCATTTGAAAATAGAACTATCATCATCACTATTCACATAATTATCATCTATTTAATATTGGGAACTTTTTATCTGTAGTTTTAGATATTAATTGCTCTGTCTCTATATCTTCAGCACTCACAAAATCATTATCCCATTCTAAATCGTTAGAATTGATAGGACTGTCTTTTTGTGATCCATTCATGAATGCTTCTAAACTGTCATCTGTTGAAGATTGAGGTTTAGCTTGAGGTACAACACCTAAAAAAACAACGAAAATTATTTGAGTTGTGAAGCATGATATTTCTCACCAGTATCATGTTATACCATCAGAATATTTGCTTTTTTAGTTAGTTTTCAGGAACTATTTTTAGGACGGATGCCAATGATATATACAGTATTTTTTGTCAGTATTTTTAACTAGTTATCTCATTTTCACACAAGAACAATAAAACAGTGCTTTCATGAAATCCCCCTAATACTAGTATACTATTATCTAATAGACTGAATTGTAAGAGAATATACTGGGCAAATTACAAACCTGCTTCATGATCCCATTCTAAATCTAGTGACGAGACATCAGTTCTGTCTTTGGTTAAACTACTACTAGAGCTCTGTCCGTCACCTGAGCCTACACATATTAAAAATAGTCATTTTCAGTTAAAAAAAGGACTATTATTTTGAGATTAAATCTGTTCATAGTCTAAGGTTATAATATCCAATTGAAATTCCTAATGACAATTGCCTTTACATCTTGGAGCAGCACTAATTTCAATATTTGAAATTTAATGATTTCAAATTTAACCACAAATGTAATGAGTGGTATACAACTACACTGTTAGATTCCAGACAATACATTAAGGACATATATGCACAAATGAAAATTAAAATATATTACCCTGCCGCAGTTGAGCCTGAGTTCTAGCAGCTAGTGATCTAGCTTTAACACTAGCCAAAAATATCTCAAAATCATCATCTCCACCAGCTCTAAATTCAGAATTATATAAACTAATTACAATAGATAAAGATAAAAAGTCAAAATCTCTCTTCTACTTCTATAAAATGCAACTATAAGCATTTCTTTGTTTAACTATTTGTGCAACTGTTCTATTAAAAGTAGCCATTTTACAAAATTTAACAGTAGAAATATAACAACAAATTACAGAATCTGTATTTTGATTGGACACAACTTTTTGTAGATCACATGATTTTAAATATTCTGATAAAGATAGCTTGGCAGGCAACGTAATATAAGTCCACTGGCAGCTTTGACTATAAATAAAAATATTTGGCAGTACAGAAACAATAACTAGTATAAAGTATGAAATATACTTTTTGGGGCGATATTGTATAATATTACCAAGTTTCGTCAAAATCTTTCAAGAACTGGGCCTTATAGAGTGATTACAGGCTAAAACTTGTACGTGTTTTTATGAACATGGGCAATAACTCAATCTAAATATTTTTCGATTCTTCTGATTTTCGTCAGAGTTTATCTTTGGTTGATAAACACCATGTTTCGTCAAATTCTATCAACAATTGTGCCATCTAGAGTGTTCATGGGCTAAAAATTGAACGCGTTTACAAGAACAAGGGCAATAACTCATACTAAATATGTCTCTGTTTTTCAATAGGGTTCATCCTTGGATGATTACAAACACTCACACCAATTTTCGTCAAAATCTGTCAATAATTCAACCTTCTAAAGCGTTTACAAGCTAATAATGGAATGCATGTTCAAGAACAAGGGCAATAACTCACTACTAAATATTTTTGGATTGGTTGATAAACATTCACGCAAAGTTACATTAAAGTCCATCAAGAATTGTGCCTTCTAGAGTGTTCACGTCCTAAAAATTGAACACATTTTCAAGAACAAGAGCAATAACTAATTATTTTGGGATTTTTTCCTGATTTTCAACATGGTGATTACTAACGCCAATTTCCACTTAAATCCGCGAAGAATTGTGCCTTCTTTCAAGAACAAGGGCAATAACTCAGACAAATTATTTTCAGATTTTTTTGTATTTTTAATAGGGTTCATCCTTGAGTGATTACAAACACTCACACGAAGTTTCGTCAAAATCTGTCAATAATTCAACCTTCTAGAGCTTAAAATTGAATGCGTTTTCAAGAATAAGGGAAATAACTCAATACTCAATATTTTTCTGTTCTTTTAATTTTTGATAGGGTTCACCCTTGGGTGATAACAAACATCTACACTAAGTTTTGTCAAAATCTGTCAATAATTGAACCGTCTATAGTGTTTATAAGCTAAAATTGAACGAATTGAAGAACAATGGCAATAACATAATAATACTGAATATTTTTCTATTTTTCTCATTTTCAATAGGGTTCATCCTTGGGTAATTACAAACAATCATATCAAGTTTCGTCAAAGTCAGTCAAGAATTGTGCCTTCTAAAGTGTTTAAGAGCGGCCGAACATGGGTGATGACAATATACACTCCCTATTTCAAGTGGGCATATAAAAATACAAATCTATAAAGTTTTGTTTCCTATTTTCCTGTGGGTCTATAATTCACTTGGTTACCAATTGTCATAATTTTGCGAACAAATCATAACATCCTTTGTCTTGAAATGCTTAACAATGAATATCCCAAAATTCCAGTAAATCTTGAATTAAACTTAGAAATTGGTTGGTTGATTGTAAGTTCATGGATGGCAAGTGGAGATAATAACACATGGTCTATAAATAGACTTACATTTCCCATTCATCTTCATTGCCATCTAACCACGATTTTGAGCCATGGGTTGTAGCATTTTTCTTGGCTGCCTGTTCTTTAGCTCGTTGTAATTTAGCTGTTCTTGCTGCTTCTCTCTTAGCTTCAATTAATGCTTCTTCTTCTTGTTTTATTTCTTCCTCATGTTGTGCTAGCTGAAGATGTCAAAGCAAAACATTGGATAAGACAAATCAACTCAATGTAACCTCAAATTCTTTGATTTCAAAGGCTTTCATGATATCTTAATGTACATGATGCATAATTTAATGTAGAATTTATCCATACATAAAATGTGGAGACAGAAGAATTTCAATTTATTTTTGTATATTTTTTTTTTTTACATAAAATATATAAATAGAATATTAGTAAAAATTAACTGAAATGAAATCCTACTAGTTATTTATCCTATTTAAACAATACAGACAACTATTTGATATTCACTAATTTCTTTTTCTTGAAAGAATGATACAAGAGTTTCACTGTTGCTATGAATGACTCTAAAAACAATCCTCTTAATATAAAAAACACTCTTTGAAACTTTTCGAAAAATAAAGTGCATAAATATTTAATGGGTTGGAAAGTGGAACAAAATATATAAATGACAGACTTTTGCTTAATATCATACACATTTTTGACCGATTTTGACTTTTTTGATGGTATGTTACAATCAAATTGTTTGGCCTGTTTGACCATGACCCAACATTAAAATATCAACACACATTTTGACTTCTAAGTCCTGTGCCTGTGCTTTTCTAACTTTGTCACATATACATCTAATATAAGCTAATACTGTGGTTTTCATTCATTTTAGTTCACATGTGATCACAGGAAAGAAAATGACAACCAAAATACACATCACATTTACATGATAAATCAGCAAAAAAGCAACAATTACCTTTGCATCAATTTCTTGATCAATTTTCTTTTGTTCATGCAACAACACTGTATATTGGCGTTTGGATAAAATCGCCTTTTCGTGATCAGTCAAAGGCCTTGACAAATAAACAAAACATAAATACAACTGGATAAATCAAAATACATATAAACAGAAAGTACTACATATATGAGCCCTATACATCTATATCAGAGCTGTAGTTATGATGAGATTAAAATAATTTTTTTCAAAATACTGGATTGATATATTCATAGAGGGTCCATGCAATATTCAATAGAACAACAAAACAACTGCATGCTTAGTTAATTATGACAATCACTACTTTGGACAGTTTGTGAAAGTTTTTTTTATGGATCTTTTTGTCTCAGAGTTGAGAATTTTGATGCGCTTTCTAAACTTCAGCAGAATTTTCGAAATTCAAGCATACCAACACAACTAAATAACTAAAATTCAATAGAAGTTGTCATAAAAAAATCTAAAATGGAAATTGTAAGGTATGACAGCAGATGTTTTTGTTCACTTGAATAAATTAAATATTGCTAATAAAAACTATAATACTAATGGACACCACACAGAAACAACAGCACAATCATAACCTCATATTATGTCTGTCACCTACCAAACGGACATATGTTGACACAGTAAATGGTCCACTAGTTAATTGTAATTGACATCTGTAAACAGTGATTAAAATCAAAATTTATTACAAAATACTATTCCCATTGATTCGATTAAAATAAAAGAAAATAGTGAACAATTTTTAGATAAGCTTAGAAAATGAGGTTTAATAATACACACAATATCAAACAGTTTTAGTTTTTTGATGATCTGATAATTTTGAACCAATGTATATTATTTTCTAATTGTTTTAACAATTGGTAATTTGTATTGTGATCAAAATAAAATAAGACACATATTGGATGACAATGGATGTATAATAACTCCCTAATGCCAATAGTACTATATTGATTGTTTTTGAATGTATTGACAATATCAAAATGAATTCATTGATATACATTGGCTAATTAGTAGTTACATAAGCATAATATTAAAAATTTCACAATGACCTAGCACAATGTTTGGGCCAATATTATTCAAGGTGATTAAAATAGAGATCCAGATGTTTTTTCTGTTTATAGTCTTCAGCTATTTGTTTTACTCTACATCAATAATCTGGAAAATTTTTGCTCTATAGCATTTAGTGGAATTTTGATCAAGTATCATCAAAAGTTGTCATAATTCATTCTGACCAATCAAAAACAATGTTAATACAGACAATACAATACCAGACAATACAAATCAATGGTAGGCAATGAATATCCCACAAATAATGGCCAGTAAATCTCTTGATGAAAGTAGTATCTGATTGGTTAAATAATTCAATGACCTAGAACATGTGTTGCAAAGCAATATTGTAAGATCATTGATTCCAATTTGTATCAACCACACTCGTCTCAACCACACCCTCTCCATTGAACATAAAGCTTCAAAATCTAAATCTGCATGAATGATATTGGAAAAAAATTCCGAATAGACAAGACTTTTTCCTATATCCAAGAAATATCCATATTTTATGTAAAAAGGAAAATAGTATAATCACGAAGGTAGTAAATATAAATAATTTGGGATTCTGGAATGCCGTTATGGTTACTGATACCCTAGGTTCAGTGAATAATACAGTGATAACTGTGGCATCAGATGTTACGGTAATGAGTGTCCAATAGAAAGAGTAGAAAAGATAACAAGAGAGTGTAATAAGATTGACGAAGCAATTGGTAGCTAAAACCTGATTACCATACTATCAATAATGATAGAGAGAAAATCAATGTGTTTAACAGCTCTGTAATAAAATCACTTCTCTTCTACTATGAAAATAACGAAAAGATAAAAAAAAAGCCTTTTTGAACACCTTGGATTCCAAAAGTTTATAGCTTTTCCAATTTTATCAATTCAAATTTAATTTTTGAGATTAAGTTTATCATTATTCCCAGGCACATACAGTTATTGTACTTTCACTATACTAGTACAGTAAACTAATAAACTTCCAATGCACTTGTTAAAGGTTTAAATAATAAATGACTTCAAAATGCCAAGATAGATTTAAATATTTTAAAATAAATTATAAATACCTGTTTGCTTCATATTGATTATTATCCTAAAAATAATAGTAAAAAGGCTTCACAAGGTGTCACAAAAAAGGCAAACAACAATCCATTCTATTGTATTCACTTGACACTTTTGAATTATTCTGGTGATGACCCCAAGAAAAGTTCACATACACATAACATACATGGTATTGAAATCGTATGTAACCCGCAGCCTCTATCATGTTGACAAGAAAATTGATGATTGTGAATACATTACATGTATAAACATGAATCAAATAAAATATGATGAAAGGAACACAGTAAAAACAAATGTTATTTGTATGAATCCCATTTTAATCATTGTATGATATAATATTACATTTGGTCAGTTACATGTGTTCTACTTTGTATTGTAATGTAACTAAATGCACAGGATTAAGGAGTTTGAAAGCAACAGAAAAATATATGCAAGAATATGAGTTTAGTGCAGTTAATGAAATCTTAAATTTACAAAATCATCTTACCTCATCCATTAAATTCTCAAACTACAAAATATTTACAAAATTTTTCTAGTAAAGATCTTTAACATTTAATATTCTGATGCAAAAATGTGCTAGGAATTGCAGATTATGGATTCACTACTCTCTGACAATTATTTTTCAGAAAATTAATATTTTGTGTCATAAAGTCTTAAGGTTAAATTTGAAACAAAACTTGAAATAACACATGAAAATAACCTTTTGACTGAATACTTCAAATATTTTTGATTTGTAGACAATGTAACAGTACTATTTGGGTATAATAATGTTCATATAAAGTTTTTTGGTAAAATTTGATTCTGAAAACTATATTGTCAGACAGTAAGGGTGGATTGAGATTAACTTATTGAAAGTAGGAGAAATTCCTGGTTATAGAGGAATGTTACAAAAAGCTTACTTAGGAAAGGATCCAAAAGAATAATTTGTTTGCTATAATCTTTAACTTAAATATATCAATATTTTTTGTAAATAAGCTTATCTGAGAATTTGAATAATTGATGAAATCTGCTGAAATGAAATTTCTATACGCAGTAAAAACAGATCTCTAAAAATTTGTGATACACATATGAAAAATATTGTTGAGTACATGTACTTACCTCTATAGAGTAATCTCTTTCAACATCATATCTGGTCCTTAAATACTGTCTCCTGAAAAATATTTCAAAGTTAATATTAAACTGTAGTTTAGTTTCGAGTGTTAATTCTTTTTAAGATTGAGCTCTAAAAATGTCCAAAGGTTTAATTCCAGTATATTCACTATCATTTATATCAAAGTACATTTTCTTTTCATATATCATTTTTAACTTTTTTAAAAAGGAGTCAATTTACAAGTTTCGTTTCACCGATTGCCATTTACATGGGAAGTTTTTGAGATGAAACTTCCATGAAAGAAGTAAGTTTATTTCAAATATAAATCTATCAAGCCTTATATCATTATGGACCTGATGATATTGTACAAAAAATGGCAAGCAATCAAAAATAATTTTTGAAATGATGGAAAAATTCAATTCTGAGCTGACATTTGTTGGAGAGTAGTGAAAATTCAATGGTAGGCCAATTACTTAGAAATTCTTACAACCTTTTATTTATAAAATAAGACAAATCCGAAATATACAAGTGAATATAGGTCTTACTTAATATAAAACGAATACGTTACTTAGTTTGATCATAAAATTTCAATTCTTAAACTTGGTCATTATGAGTATGTATTCATCCAGTGTCATAACTCTACTATACAACAGAATCCCTGTTAAATCGGATAAATTCATATGATTAAAGGGATACTACGTCTAAGAATTCAATAAACATAAAATTTTAAACTTGGCCAATAAGAGCAAATATTCATCAGTAGATATACCTGGTGTCATAAATAACATAACAGGATCCTTATATAATCCGATAAATCCAAAAAACTTAATAAAATGCAATTAACTATTGAAAAACGTTTAATATTATGATTAAGCGTTTTTCAATAATTACTTATTTTTATGAATTTTCAAATTTTCTAGATTTTACAGGGATTCTGTTGTAACTAAATGACACCAGGTAAGTTCACTGATGAATATAATATACTCATATTGACCATTCTTGAGAATTAAATTTTATGTTCATTCTAAGACGTAATATCACTTTAATCTATTATCCATAAAACTAAGTAATTATAAAAAAAAGCCCCAACAAATTTCAGTATATTTCAATAATTAAATTTTATAGATTAATCTTATTATCAATGATTACTGTTGTATGTTTATGACACCAGGTAAGTCTTTTGATGATTACATTCATGAGTTATTGTTCAAGTATTGTGTGAGAATTTAAATTCTATGTTCTGCAGCAACATACATTGTTTTAAGTCAATGACAGCTAAACAAGGATAGATATACCTCTTATCAAACCTTCCACAACATTTGGCCAAACAATTCCCCATGTCAGCCTATTTCTAGAGTCATAACTACAAACTTCATAATCGTCATCATTTGTGCTCAGGAAACTGCAGCCATAGCGGAAAAGGAAGTGAAAGTAGAATCATGTGATCAATATTGGGTGTATTCGATTGATAGTGTCGAATCTATCTCTAAGGTCGAGTCTATGTACTAGTAGCTTACCCATTCTCCCATCGAGAGTTTTTTTTTAACATAACAGACCGTGAATGAATGATTGTGTAGGATCAACTCATATTCTTCTTATCTGTGTATCAATAGCTAATATATTTATGGCATTAGCTTAGCTCCGATATTCTTTACCTTACAATATTCACTATCATTAGCAAAAATTGAAATTTATCAATGCAATCTGAAAATCCTATTTCCAAGAGAATTTTTGAACAACGCTCCATACACCATGGGCATGGACGTTGAGTCTTGAAAGAGCAAGATACTAAGTATACTCACTACACACAATCATTCTTGGTGTGTAAACGATCACGCGATAAACTGAATAAATGACGATGTCATTTAAGTATGTTTGTGGCGTAATTCACTGCGTTTACACACAAATAATGCTAGTGAGACCAACCTTTAATTCTTATATACTTTTATTACCACAATTTTCACTTTAAATATGATCGGTTCCTTGAATTTGCCACAAGTCTTAGATTGCGTCATTGTTGTGCTTTGATGAAGTCATAGTATCGCGTGACAACCGCTAGTTTGTGTAATTGGTTTATTGAAGCAATGAAGGGAGTGATATGATAGTAGAAATGTAAATATTATAAATTAATCAAATGGTAAACGCAAAATGAAGCCCGAAACCAGTTACCTCCCTTGTACAATTTTAAAAGATCAAGGGAGGTAACTGGTGAAAATATTTTCATCCAATTTTAACAGTTCAAGGGAGGGAACTGATTACAGAAGTTTTTTACAATCAACCGCAACAATGAAGAAGCATTGAAAAGTGGCATCAAGTGTCCAGAAGAGTCGTAAAGTAAGAGTAGGCCTTGGCCTATAGTGTCTTATTTTACAATATTATTATTAATATTACATTTTTTAAATGCCATGGGCTAGATAGATCTATTCGGAACATTTCGAATTGTAATGAATATGAAATGCGAATCAAAATTTAGCCAAACCTGACTGTTCAAGTCAATCAATTTAAGTTGAAAATCAATATAATAACAAATTTTGATATAATATAAATTAATCATAGGGCCGATAGAACTAAAATTATATGGGTCGCAGGTTGATACAAACAGACTATAATATGACGAGCTACCGCATGCAATTGATTTAAGATAAAATGAAGAATAATTCAAGTAATTGGGTCGAATGTTACTTAGTGCATAGTCGAATAATAGTTATATCTGAAAAGGAGTATGTTATTTACCAGCAAGAATTGAATAATGATCTATTCTGCGTTTAAACATCGATTGTGAATGTAGAAATAGAATTTTACAAAGCATAATACTAATATTGATTATTCTTTATGCCCAGTTTTTGATGTGCCATTTGCCTTAAATCTGAAAATACCTACCCTGTAAGTCAAATTACTTTTATTGTTAGATACCATTGATTTATAGTTATGTTGAAGGGTAAACTTATATTGGTTTTATTTGTAATAGCTGTATTCAGTTCTCACTATTACAAATAAAACCAATATAATTATAATTTGTCATCATTTCTGCCTCTCCTATATCATATGTCGGCTCTCTCTTCTTTGTTTCACCGTCAACATTAGCCCAGGTGCAAAAATGTAGGACGTAAGATTCCATTCATTTTTCTCTGTTTTTGAAGTGTATTCATCCTGTTTTCTAATCTTGTTTTTCATTTGAGTTGTATTATTTCATATCAGCCTGTCTTTGTGTTTTAATACTATATATAGGATAGCTTCTTCTGCTATGATATAGTAGCCGACAGAATACTGTTTTAATTGAACTAGAATTGAATTTAATATTTAGTGTTCCATATAGTGTTTATACTTAAAAGTATACACTTTAACAGTAGGCTTTATAAACAATGATCGTGGAATTTTGGATAACTGTCATCATAGGTATTAAAACATCAGTATGGCTAGCTTTGTTTGTATTGGTAGCCTAGGTGTGGGCCATCTTGTAATATTTATTGATATATATTGATTAGCACACATGTCTGCAGTTAAATCATTCATATGTCATTAAATTCTTATCATTAAATCTGTTACATAACTATTGCATACCTCAATATTATTTTATATTTTATTGATTAGTATATTATACTGCAATTAGTAGGCTAGGCCTATGCAGTTGAAGTGAGCTTAGCACGGAGTTGGTTTTTGTCGTGCTTTAGTTATCGATATTAATATTTTGTCATAAGATCCAGTAAAACATGTTATGCAACGTGATATTTTTAGAAATCCTCTTTGTCCTTCCCTCTCTGGGTTTTTGATTAGATTTGGAATTTGATGCCCGAAATTGCATTTTCTTTCAGATTGTCTGAGATGACAGATTTAAAGGCGGAAGGATAATTCTGAAATTAGTTGTTTTTGTTAGTAGTCCCAGTCAAACGGATGTTGATTAAATGTAGCCCAGTGATCTACTTTCAATAAGGATAGATCGGTCATGTCATAGAGGTGGTTTGCGCATCACATGATGCACAACTTTACCATTTGTAAAGGTGGTGTCATATTTTTAGCATATGTTATCACGATTAAACTGATTTCTCGTATTCAACGAGCTCAGAATAGATTGATAGAATTTTGTCCAGAAACTAAGTATTGGCCAGGCTTTCACGCGATTGGAAAGTTTTCAACGAGATTTCTGGATAAAGTAATAGGAAGTTGAATTTAATTAACATGATTTAACATGGAAAGAGATGGCAAATGATTTCGTAGTGTCTGTTTCATTCAGAATGTAAGTTATAATTATACTATAAGGTTTACTACTTTAACATGAAATAAGAGTCGGGATCAATGGGTGTCCACTGATACGTGTCACAAAAAGTACGCCAGTAAAACACGATGAATCAGATGGGGGTATCGTTCTTGACCACCGAACATCCTAAACCGCGTTTACAAAAAAATAGTCCTCTTGGTCCGTTTGGTCCACAATTTACACTGCACTGTTTTCACTGGGCCAGAATGGCGAGTATTCAAGTACACCTCTGCTCTCTAGTCAGTGGAGGCGAAAAAACAATGGACTTTCAAAATGTCATAAGCAATACATACAGCAGGCCATACTTCAGAAATCAGAAAATGCAATTTCAGACATTAAATTCCAAGTCCAAGAATAATGGGATTTCTAAAAATAGCACGGACTACATTCGTCATCATTAGTATAAAATGTTTTACTTGAATCGGTCCAGCAGTGAAGTTGAATAATTTTGTAACGTTCACCTAGGTGAAAATTGACTTTTACTTAAAAACTTTCATTTTCAACTAGGTGATAATTCCTGTAATTTTAAGTAAAGACTTTATTATTCACCTGGGTTTTAATTATTTTCATCTACTGAAAATTAGGTGATTATTCCTGTAATTTTGAATTACTTTAACTTCAATTTTCACATAGGGGACTTATTACAGGAATTATCACCTAATATTCACCAAGGCGCAAAACATTATCACCTAGGTTGAAATTAAAGTTTTTAATTCTAAATTTAAAGTGAAATATTATTATGTCCTGTGCTATCACGGTGTAATACATGTCACAGGTGGAGGTCCTTTTTTTGCATGCGCACAACTTTATGGGTAAGTGAGCTCGGCCATAGAGTTAAATATAAAATGTATATATCCTATATATATTTAACTCTATGGGCTTGGCACAGTGGCGCGTTTACAATGCTATTTTGACAGACTCTTGCGAGACTCGGCCTACTACACTGCCACCCTTTTTGTCGAACCATATTCGATCCGTTCATTTTGGATATTTAAACGCGACTTATTAGTATGGTTTAATCAGTTTCAGTCGATGAATAGAATGCTTTAATTGAAAATTTCTTCGAATATTTGATAGCATATTCAAATGATCAAATAGTTTTCACAAGTGTCATAGGTTTTGACGATGGCAGACCCAGTTACTGACAAACGAAAATCTGATTTTTAGAAATTGGTTGTGAAATGGCAGAAACGACAAATCATGATGTTCAGGAGGTATTAGGAAACAGATTACCACCAGATCGCCGCAATAGTTCACCCTTTATACGCACCACAATAGATTATCATGCTGATCTGCAATGGTTTACACAATCTATTCCGTTCAGAGAGAAGGCGGATTATGGTCTTGGTTGTGACCAATGCTACATGATTAATAATTCTTCTGGAAAACATCGATATATAGCACACACAACTACTTACTGCAAATGTAACATAATAGCTATTAAGAACAAAGGCTCTTTGTTATGGGATTTATCTATTCGATTATATCCTGGGATTACGATGGCAAAATCATATACACTTTGCAAGTTTGTTGTAAATAATATGACTTGCCTTCGTAATAGATGTACACATCCACATAACCCCATTGAACAGAGTTGGTGGAACTTAGAGAAGGCAAACAAATTGAATATCAAAGCATTTAGAGAATATTTACAGTTTGAACGTCTTATAAAAATGTTTGGTGGAAGATTTGTCTTCATTTGTAAAGAGTGTTATCTTTCATCCAGAAAGGTGACTATTGTTAACCAAGAAGGAATTTGTCCAAAGCATCAAACTTTAATGTGTAATAGGCTCTTGGTACATGCTGGTTCCACTGGTTTCACGCCTATTTTTCCAAGACCAACCAAAAACTTCAGATTGTGCAAGAATATGGACAGATGTATTTATAGTCGTAACGCTTGTTTTTTTGGACATTCAGAAAAAGAGATTGCCATTTGGTCCTTGGAAGGGAATCTTAATGATTACCAAATCCTGGTGAACTGGAGTCAATGTACCAATCCACAAAACTTAGCCATTTACGGTAAGATACACCTCAATTCTACCTCCATTGTAACATAGCCCTCATTGCGATACAAGACTCACACAATCATATCCATATATACCGAGCTAACAAATTGATTAAGATTTGTTATCTAACAAGAGTCAACAGTCATGTATCCCCCTAAAAAAGGCATTTTCTTCAGTGAGTAGTATGGTTTATGGCATTGGTTTCGTTCGCCATCGCTTTGGCCCATTTGCACCATGGTTAGGGCCCATTTTCGCTTATAAATTATAAATGTATAATAAATAAAATAATTGAATTGCTTGATATGTTTCTCATTCAATGTCTACAGTGTTTAGTAATTAAATTCCAAATCGCCTAACGAAAGTTTTTCAATTCTGAGCAATATTTTCATAAAAACAAAATGTCCACTATTCCTGTTCCAGTTATGGGAACTAATTTGGTCAGAAAACTGATTAAAATTTGTAGTAATTTTATTATTGTTGACCAATAACTTTAAATAGATTTTTAGAGAGATTATGTAAAATTGTATGTGTATCGGTTAAACTGCTAGCATCAATTTGCATTTATCGAATTTTAAATCAGACGCACCTGCACTAGAACTTACCAGGATTCATATTATACATTTATATGCGTAATCATGTTTGCTAACTCAATACAGTTTGGTTTTTGAAATATTTCAGTAGATATGTTCAAAGAAAATAATATTGAGAATATTTTAACGCCACAATCTGTAAAATGTAGAGGTGATTACTGTGAAGATTGTAGTCTTCAGTTTAAAACGAAACAAGATTTACTAACCCACAACAATTCAGTCACTCATTTAGATAACATTAAGTTTGACCAACTACGCCAGTGGAATTTCAGACAACCTAAATGGACTTTAAGTATATTTACTATGTGTGACAAGTAAGTTGTAGATACAGTTTGAAAGACGGTTTCTAGTTTTAATAACCCAATTTCTGTTATGCATGGTTAAAGGGACAATTCTTCAGAAGTACTTGAAATGTACAAAAATCGAATCAAATCGAAAAAATACCCGAATTACAAATATCTCTTTCTATTTCTATCGATGTCTTTTCTTAAAATAGAAGAGTCTAAAGAAAGACGAGCCGCCATTTTAAATTAAAAACACGGATAGTTTTGGACACACGTGGATTTGAAGGCTCAAAATTTGCTGGTGAGCTTAAACACTATTACTGATTATCTTAGCTAAAGAAAATCCGAGACTATGGTACGATTGGTCAAACAGATGGCAAACCTGTCCCTTTAAAGGCCTTTTGTTTCGTTTCAGGCACATGAATGGACAGTTATGTTCATTTTCAAATATGTCTGCCAGCCTGAATTATTGCCCTGAAGCTCATAGCCAGTTAGAAATACAAGAATGGGAAACGAGAAAGCGATGGAGAGAAATGAACAAACAATTAAGTGACGAAGTAGATAAATGTATAAAGATGCAAAACCTGATTACATCTGGATCATTAAAGGTACATGTAAATGAAATTGAATTACCCCCCGCCCCCGTAATCCAACAACAAAAGCCACTTTAGTGGCCATATCTTATAACTAAATCATTTGAGTTGTTATTTTAAAAACACCGTTTCCGTTTTTTAGTCATGGACAAAGCCAAAGCATAGCCAAGACATTTAAAAATTGGCTTGCAAACGCAGTATAAACTACAATTTTAGCTGTTTTTTTTTGTGATGACATTATATGACATGTAGTCGACTTTCACACCTTGCTTTTGAAAATACAAAATATGTGTTTGTTAATGTTAAGACTTTAAGGCTGTATATAGATATCATAATGATAATTTCTTACAGATGAAGGAAAACCACCCTGGCATATCAATTGAATGTGATAGAGATTTTCATCAAATAGTACAGACTGACAAGTATTCAACAACTTGGAAATTTATTGTTACCTCAAACATTGTAAGCTTTCTGTTAACAATTATAAGCAAAAAGTGGATTGGGGGGTTCAATGTGTACGATTTTCCTTGAGTCTTAGTTTTCCTTACCTGGGAGTTACTCGTAAACAAGAACTTCTATCACCTAGTGGGGTTAGTGGTACCAACTAGAGCAGAAAGCATCAAAGAAACCTCTTGGAATTGAACGGACTTTTCACGATCTAAACGGTGTGGTAGACCGGCAAACAGATTGTCACTTTGAAAATTATGAGGTGTTTGGAAATATTCCTTTGAATTGTTGTAAAAATGTAACCATTTCATAGCTGTTTTTCTACACCTTAAAATACTTTCAGATGAAACTTCAAAACCTTGTTTTACTTGATCACGACGACCGTTTAGAATTTAGTTTTCTGAAATCACAAGACAATTCTAAACATCAACTACTGACCAGTGATTCAGTTCTAGAAGAAATTAATAATGGGCTCCTCAAATTCAACATTGACATTTATTTTACAACAAACAAACCAGGCTTTTATGCACAAACAATGATTCTAGAATTTGATGATAATATTATCATTAGTCAAAAAATATCAGTTCTAGTAGACACTAGTATTGTTAAACCTATTGGTGAAGTAATATTAGAAGATGTATCAATTGACCAAGCAGCGAACCATGATGCTTCTTTAAGTAAAAGGTATCCACCACCATCTAAAGCGGACTTTATGAAAGCTAAATACGATGAATGTTTTGTTATAAATAGATATAATTATAAACATAAAATGCATAAATTGATAAGCAGTGAAGAATATACTCGACAGTTAATACTTTCTCAGTAAGTATTTTGCTAACATAGAAGGCTAAACACACAGCCTGTAAAGAGCTCTTTTGTATGTCTAGCCTTAAACACGTTCGTTATTATTAAAACATAGTTATATTGATGATGAGTAAAACACTTATTTTGTTTCCGTTTGATAAGATTAAAAACTCGCGACAACATCTAGTTTGAAAATTAATCGTATTTATTAGGAATCTCGACAAGGAATTAATATACTATAAAGAATGTTTCGAGTGTAGATATTGCTACTTAATACATGACATACAATTTGTACTACAGATACAACATGGAAACTGAAATAAATATTACCAATGAACTACAAGGAGAGACGTTTCTTTGTGCTCAAAATGGTGAATTGTTTGGAAGTATTGTTTTACAAGAAGATCTTTGTGAAGATACAGATAAAGGGAGGCTATTGTTAGAAAGTGTACAATCAACCATCATTCAACCAACCACCATTCAATCAACCATCATTCAATCAACCATCATTCAATCAACCATCTACAGGCTGTCAGATAATGTCTATGAAGTTCCCTTAGTCCGAATGGAAAAGTTTTCTGGCAGGCATAAAAACCATATATTTATTAAATTCAGTTCTGAAATGGTAACATATTTAGACTTAAAACCAAACACAACACTACAAGTAAATATAAGATTTAAAATGGACAGAGGGTTGTTCTACAGAATGCACCATGCTGTTGATATTCTTCAGAATATGGATGTCGTGTTTCCTCCTGTCAATAAATTAAATGTTATTAATTGGAATGAAGAAGATATCAAGATAAGGTAAAAATATCTTCACTATTTTAAATGCCACACAGTGTGTTACTCTGAATGACAACAAACTTCCGGTTTGTTAAATGTAAATCACGGGGTAGATTAAGCCTGAATGTAATATATTTTTCTACATTGTCTAGTGGTGGAAGGCTATCAGAAGATCAGTTAAAGACAGTAAGACATATAGTCGCAAAGAAGAAGAACTACTCACCACCGTTGATAGTGTATGGACCATTTGGTACAGGTAAAACAGAAACCTTGGCTGAATCAACGAAGATATTACTGACTGAGAAGAAATGTCGCATACTAATCTGTACTTTCACTAATAGGTATGTTATGTTTACTATAGACCATTATTCCTGCTCAGGTCGGTTGACCATTTAAACAAAATTTCATCGATTCTGTCGCTCTCTTCATAAGCATAACGCACATTGTAGTGCAATGTAGAATCAGATCTTCTATACACCTACTGCCTGTAACAACACATAAAGAGTGAGTACGTATTCCATCAACAAACCAGTTTCGAAGTATTTCGGCAATGTCGAAGGCAATGATTTTAAAAGCGACCTTGAAATATTGATAAATCCAACTGTTTTTCTAATTTCAGTGCAGCTGATATATATTTCACGAAATATTTAGATGAATTTCTACAGTCAAAACGGCTGATAAACTCAACATTAAGAATATATCACAAAGATAGAAGATTAAAGACAGTACCAGAATCATGTCGACCATATATACTATATTCAGAAGAAGACAACTCTTTTTATTTACCATCTAAGGAAGATATTTTATCTAAAAAACTTATTGTAACAACTGTTGAAACTGCTATAGAACTTACAACATTGAACGTGAATGAATTATTTACACATATATTTATAGATGAAGCAGCACAAGCCTTGGAATGCCAACTTCTTATTCCTCTATCATTAGCTAATGATAAAACCTGTATAGTTTTAACTGGAGATCATCGTCAAATGAATCCAACTCTTTACAGTAAAGATGCTCAAAAACAGGGTTTTGGTCATTCGTTATTAGAACGTTTACACAATTATTACAATGGATTTTTTATAGATGATGACAGTATGGTCAACCTTTTCCTGAATCGAAACTACAGATCTGAAAAAAAATTGCTTGAATTTATATCAGATACCTTTTATGGTGGATCAAACGTCCTAATATGTAAATCCGGCGATTGGGGTACTAACGTTTTAGAATCTATGAACTTTTATTGTGTGAATGGCCAAGAAATTCAAGAGGAAAACAGCACGTCGTTTTACAACGAGAGTGAAGCGGACCTTATTGCTGAAGGAGTCGAATTTATGTCTAAGAATTGGCCTCGTACCTGGGGAGAAATTTGTCTTGAAAGTATTCAAGTTGTAGCACCTTATGCCCAACAAGTAAATTTGATACGATCCAAGCTAAGAGATAGAAGATTAGGTAGAGTTAGTGTGGAGAGAATATATAACATCCAAGGTAAGTATTTCTCTTCATACAGATTTAGAAAGCATAGAAGATAAGTTAGGCAATAATTAAAAGTTCCATGTCATCTATACGGTCATATTTGTTTGTTGAGTCTTACGATTGTAATTAGTAGTACCGAATTTAGGAAAGTCCCATTTTGCCATGACCTCCCATTAGCCCTCTAAATGCTTAGGCCTTCTGAAAGTCGTTGGCTTCTGGCGGGTCTCTGGCCATAAGTTAGAGACACCACTCGTATTGGCATCCCCCTCAAGTCCTTTTCTCGATATGCCCCTGACAATTAGATATTTAGGCTACTTCATCGCCATACAGAGGTTGACTTATTAATAGAGATATCCTGATCCTGAATACATGATTAATTTAGATATGAATGATTTAGTATATATAAGATTTATAGCATTGTTGCATTTTATATCTCAAAATGTCAATATACCAAATTTCAATCAGATCCCTAAATCGTAGTTTACTTACACCGCGCCTCCGTAAACTTGGTATGGCTGATTAAAAAATGTAGTGTATAAAGAAACGTTTTGCGAAATTTGTATTATTTTTAGTCCCTTAATTTTTCAAACCTATTTTCGTACATCTAAATGGTAGTTTTCTGATAATCAGCTCAAAGCCACACGTCAAAACTTTTTTCTTACAGGAAAGCAATTCCGAGCACTTTTTATCAGTACTGTAAGAACAAAAAACATTTTGAAGTCTGCAGCAATAACAAATTGTTTGAAAAATGACGATACAGAGATTGGTGAATATGGGTTTCTTACCGATACAAATATGTTGAATACAGCCTTTACTCGTGCACAGTCCTATGTTGCAGTTGTCGGTGATGTAATCGCACTTTGTAGCATAGGTCAGTGTCGAGAGATATGGAAAAAATTTATTTATCATTGTCACGAATTGGGAACACTTTATCCCAATATATTTGAAGACATACAGCAAGAAGTTAATGGAATTGAAAACTCCGAGTTAGGAAAACTGCTTCAAAAGAGATTCGACCAAAAAAACAAAATACAAAGATTGATAATCCCTCAGATCAAATGCCACAAGACTCTCAGAAATGTCTGGAAATTTGGAAAACTTAGCGACAAGATCAAATCCAAACTTTCACGTGGCTTCCTACAACTGCATGCTGAAAACAATGGTACTGCGTCACCTGAAGCTAGGCAAAGAAAGGTACCAAAGAAAGTTGAAACGCCTTTTAAGTATGGGACACAGGTGGAGAAACATCAAGACGCTATTGATGATACTGATGATTGGAATGATTTTAAGATGAAGCCCGATGAAATAATACAAAAACTTGTTGAGAATTCCACAACAGCAGATGAATTAATGTCTGACACTACATCAGCACAAAATGAAAATAAACCATTTAAAATCTCGTATAAAGTGAAGGAAGAAAGAGGACATGCGGTCGTTTACCCTGTTAAATCTGTTATCCATGATAAGGGAAGACAAGTTATATCTAAAGATGATGTACAAGATGAAGAGAGTTTAGAAACATCAGATGAAGAAGGAGAAAAATATAAAGGTGTCACTGACGCACCAATAAGACGTTCCCGAAATAAAACACTCCTTCTACAACTTCTAGCTGATGAACCCAACAAATACAAGAAATGTATGATTGAGATTTACAATGAAATTAGAAAAGCCCGTTTAATTTCACCAGAGGAAAATATTAGAGAAATTAATTTAAGAGAAGATAGACAAGGAAGAGCTTTAGAATATGATTTGGTTGTAGTCGAAATCCTGTCTGATATCACCGATTCAACTCAAGAGATAAGGGGAAGGGTCGTTGGAATTCTAGAAAGATCGCTTGAATTAAGATATAAAGTGTTTATATGTAGAACAAACTCAATTAATACCAGTGTCATGATACCAATAAATAAAAACATGCTTCCAATCATTAACCTTACCTTACAGGATCGTGATAAAAAACATAAAGATGGAAAGGTGGTTATGTACAACTTCACAAAAAGCGGCCATATTAATTTCAAAGGGTACGAAACAATTGATCCTTCAAATCCGAATAGTAAATTGTTTAAAGTAAGAGTATTGAAATTTTCTAAAACGTCAAATCTGCCACTAGGCATAGTGTTCGGAACACACCCAATAGGTGACAACTTGACCAGTGGAACATCAATCATTGATAATCAGTATCACGTAAAAACCACATTTACTCAGCAAGTCCTTGAGCTTTGTAAACCATCTAAGAAATGCAAGATAAATACCCCTTTATTTCCACAACGAAAAGATTTGACTCAAATGATGTGTTTTACGATCGATCCTCCAAATTCTATGGATCTAGATGATGCATTGAGTCTTACCGTCGAAAATAATTTGTATGTTGTTGGTATCCATATTGCTGATGTTGGCCATTTTGTTACCAAAGACAGTGCTCTGGATTTGGCTGCATTTAAAAGTTGTTGCACATACTACCGAATAGATGAGAAACCAATCAATATGTTACCAGAATCCTTGAGTACTTCAACTTGTAGTCTTTTACCCAATGTCAATCGTCTTACAGTATCTATTCTGCTTTATCTAGACGAACAATGGAACGTTGTAAGAGCGGAACCTCACAAAGCTATCATTAATTCAAAACAAAGACTTACATATGAAGAGGCACAAAATATAATTAAAAGTAAAGGACAACAGGACTATGTTTCTTGTTCGATCAAACAACTAAATGATATAGCGGATGCCTGGAGAGCAAAAAGGGTTGGTGTAGCCTGGGTTTATAAAAATATTGACTTTATCGAGAAACATCACGCTCAAGCTCACACTCTAGTAGCAGAGTTAATGATAATGGCCAATCACCATGTAGCGTTAATCTTACAGAAAGCCTTTCCAGATTGCAGCCCAATAAGAGTTCATATGAAGCCAAAGGAAAAGTCAGCAGAGGAATGGAAAGGGGAACACTTTGAAGCAGCTTTTAATTCAGTATGTTTGGTTCCACCATGTTGTTCTGAGAACTGCTCACAAAATGGTCCATGTAAATGCTTAGATGAATACGCAACCAGTGAGAATTTTGAAAACACACCCAACTTTCATATTCCACTGGATACCATAGAAATATTATCAGAGGCAGCAGAGGCAGGAGGTGGTGGTGATTGGTTGTTATTCAAGTATCTTTTCCTTTCATTAGAAAATTATCCACAAATGACAGTTGCTTTAGCGCAGATGAGAAAGATGCAAGAGCGTAGTTATTATATTTGCTCTCGTTTAGCCTCTTCGCCACTTAATGCTCACTACGGCTTGAAGTTGCCTTCATACACACATTTTACAAGTCCAATAAGACGATACTTTGACATTATAGTTCATAGAATGCTGGACGCTTATATAATGAATTGTGAATCCCCTTATTCCGAAGAGGAACTGGATAAAATAGCCTGGAAATGTAACACTGCCTTTAGAAACAGCAAAAATTATGAAAGGTCCATTTTCAAATTACACTGTAGCTTAGCATTTGAAAAATTACCTTTGATATATTATCCGCCGATAGAGAATATTACAGAGAGCGAAATATCAATTATATTTCCAACAATACCAGATTTACGAGAAAGTGGAAGTATCAAGATGAGATTATTAGCTCCTAGCTGTATACCAGAGGTGAAAGAAGATAAATCCGTCTTGGTTTCATGGCGGGAAAGAATATACAATATGCAATCTAGTGAGGTCATAGATGGTTCGTCTGTTACACAACTTGTTTCTCCAAAGAAGAATTTGTTAGTGAGCTCAGAGAAATGGCAATCAATCTTAAAGGCTGTATGTAATAACGAAATTGCCAAAGCTATTTTAGAATTTAAGGATGTAACTAGTACTGTGGAAGATAACTCAAATTATAAATGGGTCCATGATTTATCAGGCGAAGCATCAATTAGCCAAAAATTAAGCCACTTTGTTCGTTTTTCTTCTGAATATAAACCGGGTTCACTTTTAAAAATCCAGATGGCAGCGGGGTTAGAGCGAGGAATTTCCACGCCAAAGATTCAACTTCTCTGTTTAACATCGCAGTTGTCATTGTGTCTTGAACATCGCCAGGATCCCATATCGTGCTTTACGGAACTTGCGTCAAGAAGAGCTTCCAAACCCACTTACAAGTCCATAGATGAATATAAGGGACTGTGGTTACCGGTTCTAGCAATGGAAGCCGCCACGGCTGCAGTAAAAGGTCAAGAACAAGTATTTATACATAATGTTGAAATAGAATGGAAAACCGTACCTCAAAATGGTATTGAGGGGAATTTCATTTTACACTCAAAGTTCTGTGATGAACGTGGTCTGAATTTGTTGTCACTGTTATCAGATTACGTTTGTGTTCGATACAAAGACTTGAGAGTTGACCATTCTTCCGATATCTCTGATAAGATTAATGGTTATGTGAACCATAAAGAGAAAGTGACGTTTGTTTGCCATTGTATAGTTATCAGTGTTCTACCTAGCAGTAAAGGAGTGGATGGTAAAATAACTGAAAATGCAGTGGTTACTTTAAAACTGCATCAGTGTGCGATGTCTTTTCCACAACATCTATTAGAATATACTTGTCGACACACACTAGAAGTTATACCGAAATCATTGCCTCAACGGTTAGTTAGCTCATTAATTTATTATTATAATTATTAGTATAACTAATTTGGCTTTGCCAATCTTGACATCAACCAACCTACTTTACTTTCTCGCTTATGTTATTGCTTATAACATTAAATGGCCTTATATTTCGAGGTAATTTAAAATATTAACAGGTTCAACTGTTACAAAAATGAAACTTAAAATTACTGTACATGTCTTACAGGAGAGTGGAAAAAGCCATAAAATTCCTGAATAGAAGCAAAAGACTCGCCGAAAAAATTGCTCTGGGAAAGGAAATGGATAACAGAGGTAAATTATTTTACACGTCTATTACATGTACTGAAGAAGATCTGCTAATCTCTAATAATTGAGCATTTTGAAAAGGATACTGACAAAAGTGTACATTAACTCGATTCATTGTCGCCAGGTTGTGCTGGTTTGTTAGAATGAAAAGAGTTTTAGCTGCCTTCACATATTGATTGTGGGTGTTCTCTGTTCATCTTCCCAAATATTTGTATTTAAAAGTAATTCACAAAGTTATGAGAAATGTCTATTTGGTTTGGCCCTATTTTGGCCAATTGAAAATCACATTGTGTTTAAAAGTAGTTGTGCTGAAACGTACTACGGCTACATATCATTTGGGACACTAGTAGGTCGTTGCAGTATGACGCTTTACATCAACTGACACTGAACCCAATGCCGAGTTTAACAGCAGTGTCACGAATGAAGAAAAACTTTATGCACCTTTTTGCGCTACCCCCATTTAGTTTAACCCGTGACTAGTAGTAGTGTAAACGTAAAGAAATCAAAATGTGCACAATAAGAAAAATATGTGTTGGTGTGCTTTATTTAGCAGGCTTGGAATCACCTACATCATGCAATAAGGATATCTACACTCTTTTTTTTCAAAATTTGGGCTGCTAATTTGGCAACCACTTGTAAAAGATCATCGAGGATTTTCAATTGACCAATCTGGCAGATTGTGCCTTTATCTACGGTGGTTCGTATACGACATTATTTATTTATTTTAATTTTGAATTAAAAAACTGGAATATAATTATAAATTATAATTTTGAATTAAAAACTTGTATTTTCACCCAGGTGAAAATTAATATTCACCCGGGTGATAATTCTAGAATATTTAAATAAAAACTTGAATTTCCACCCGGAATTATCACCTAGGTGAAAATTAATTTTCACGGAAATTCAAGTTTCTAATTGAAAATTCGGGAATTTTCACCCGAGTGGAAATTCAAGTTTTCAATGATATATTATTGAATTATCACCTGGGTGAAAATTAATTATCACCCAGGTGAAAATATAAGTTTTTGATTAAAATTTCTAGAATTATCACGCGAGTGGAAATTCAAGTTTTTATTCAAAATTCTGGAATTATCACCTAGGTAAATATTAATTTTCACGGAAATTCAAGATTCTAATTGAAAATTCTGGAATTTTCACCCGGGTGGAAATAAAAGTTTGTGATAAAAATTCTGGAATTTTCACCTGTGGTGAATATTAATTTTCAGTTTTTAATCAAGAATTATGTTTTATAATTATATTCCAGTTTTTTAATTCAAAATTGAAAAAAATAAAAGTCGTATACGAATCACCGTACTTATCAGCATTTCAGGATAAGTTATCTGTCCCACCAAAAATGGAAATATATTCTTATATGATTTCTGTCTCTTTTTATGTCTTCTAGTTGAATATACCGACATTGATAAACTCATGACGACAACAAATGTCGCCGAACTCAACGAAATGCAACTGAGAGTAATTAAAACAGCTTTAGGACAACCCTTCACATTAATCCAAGGACCACCGGGCACTGGCAAAACCGTCACAGGAGTGCACTTAGCGGAACTGTTTTGTGAAAGAAATAGAAATGTTGCCACCCCAGCCCAGGTTTTATACTGTGGTCCATCCAATAAATCAGTTGATGTAGTAGCAGGTTGGTATCTTTAGCGTTGATTTAAGTTTACGTTTTATCAAATTGATGAAAAGTTGGCAACCAAACAATTTATTAATTGGTAATAGCACCTAATGGTAAAGCTACACGTTGCTTAGTTTAAAAATAGGCATGTTGTCACCTTATTCCAGGTTTTGTATCATCGTCGTCCATCCCATATGTTGGTTGCCGTTTATTCAAGTTAAACCTACTATTTCTAGTCTTTTTAACCTTGTTATTGAAATTTTTTTAAAATATATAAGAAATGATATAAATATAAATGGAATTCTTTATGTAATAAAACTGTTAAAGTGATAACATTTGCTGACGATATTACAGCTTTTATCAGAGATTTTAGTTCAGCTAGACATCTATTTGAAGTGTTGAAATTATTCGGTCAAGTATCCGGGTTAGAAATTAATGTTAATAAATCAGAGGTATTTGAATTAAATAGTCAAGAATCAAATTTGAAAGGTCAACTAAAAGAAATAGGAATATCAATATGTGAATCTGTTATAAAAATTCTTGGCATCCATTTTTGTTTTGATAATATTATTTCGAATAATTTAAATTTTTACAGTAAACTTGAAGAAATAGAAAATAGCTTTAATAATTGGGGAAAATATAATCTGACGATAATTGGAAAAATTCAAATTATTAAGACTTTTTGTGTAAACATATAAACCTTCTTGAACAGCCAAAAGAACAGATAATCTGGAATAATAGAAATATTTTGATAAATAAGAAAACAGTTTTTAACGCAGAATTATCAAAAACCCTTATATATGTAAAAGATCTAAACACAGAAAAAAATATCTCGCCTAAAACATTTAATTTGTTAAACGGTCTTAGAAAAGCATCAATGAAATTTACTCAAGGTCAAGTATCTGATACAAACATTAGAATAAAACCAATAGATAGTATAAATAAAAACTTATTAAATCTATATAATGTAGGAATTGAAAAAATCACAGCCAAAATAATTTATACGAAATGTTATACGTAAAACCAAAGTGTATTGAAAGATGGGAACAAGAATTGGACCAAGAAATTGATGATAAGTTTTTTGAAAAAATATGTAATCGGATTTACGAAGTCTGTCATAATATAAAAATACGTAATTTTGAATTTAAATACCTGCATAAAATAGCTTACACAAATATTAAATTATTTAAAATGGGAATTAAAAATAACACAATGTGCGACTTCTGTTTTTCTAATTTAGAAACTGTACAACATCTTTTCATTTCATGCATAGAATCTCAAATAATTTGAAACCATTTTAATAATATTCTGGAAAAGAACTCAATAAATATAGATTTAAAAACAATAACCAAACATCTAGTCTATTATGAAGAGGCCAAGATACCACTATCACTATGGCATTTCATAAACCATTGCATTATTTTGACAAAATATTATATTTTTAAGACAAATTTTTCTGAAAAATCTTTAGATCTTTATGATTATCAACTTTATCTCCTCAAAAATGCAAATATTGAAAATCGATATTCAGAAAACAACGGAATGGAAATGGAAATATCTATATAACGTAATATAGACATTTAATGGTATGTATATAAGGTTTATTATCAACATATTATAACCTCTTGCATTGACTGATATCCCATCCTTATAATCATCTGCATATTGTTGTCTTTTTGTGCATCCTTATTTTACTCTTTAACCAATGTTTCAATTGGCAACAGTAAAATATAAATGTGATTTTGTTTGTACACTACAAATAACGTCAGAAGGATAACCTTTGTATGTAACAATTATATATTTTGTACAAATGTATGTTATGTTATTAATTTCAATATATATAAAAAAAAAAAATACTATTTTAAGGACGGTTGTAGTTTATGATCAATTTTATAATAGTATTTTTTTTTATCAATGAATACATACATTAACTAAAACAAAGTTTGATTTAAGATTTGATTATCTGAATTATAAGTCTAGTTTCATCAATTCAGATGCATATATTACTTATTTCGCAAATGCAGAATATTGTATGTCACAGGCATAACTTGAAGTTTTTAAACGCAAATATTTCAATCTAGTGTTGATGTTGGGTTTTTCTAGATATCATGCATTTCAATAATCTCGTGATGCCGATCATAGAACGTTTAACATTGACTTTAAATTTGGCGAGTTGTAGTCTTGCTTGCTAAAGAAGCTTGCAAATTTGCTTTTAGCAGAAAAATCAATAAGAAAAAATGCTCGAATATAACACGGTTCTTGAAAACGGTTAAATTCTTAGCTCGCAAACACTTAAAGGCTCGATTCTTGCAGGATTTTGACAAAACTCGGTATTATTGTTCAGTATTACCCCCAATACCTGTGGGCGTATATTACCTTGCCTGGCAAGCTATCTTGATATTTTTTATGCCATAACATGCATTAATAGTTTTAAATGATATAACCAAGCTGGTATAAACACGCAAAATGCTAAACGCTTTTATATATATGTTGATATACTTTTAAAATAATGGACAGACAGAAAAATAAAAAATGTTACTGAGGTAATAGTGATCTTTCGTTGGTTTTGTTAAAGAAAAGAAATTTTGTTACAAACAAAGTGTAGTGTTCACAGACATATCAAATCCATTTGAATTTTTCTGTAGAAAAACTGTCAAGTCTTAAAGAGCGCTGTCCCAACTTTATACGAGTTTATGCAGAGAGAATTGAACACACTGAATTCCCGTTACCTCGTGATATTGTACCAAACAAGAAGAAGTTATTAAATGAAGTGTCTAGCATTGAGGGTGTTAAAAACAGAGCACTTCATCACTTGATACGATCAGAAGCCAACCCATTTGCTGAGGAATTAAAAAAGTATGATGAACAATTCAGATCAAATACAGACGATATTGACGACGAAACCATAAATGAATACAAAAAAGTGGTTTCTAGAGCAAAGATTAAAGAGTTGAAACGGGCAGAAGTAATTTTGCTCACTTGTAACACAAGTTCTGGATCTCTAATAGAAAAACATACCAACATAAAACAGGTGGGTTTAAAGCATAAATTGATTTAAAACGAAATTATTTCATCTCTCCTCTCTTCGTGGATTCTTCATCTTGTATCAAATTTAAAACTTTCCATCGATCACATTTTTATACACCCACATGTAATGTCCGTCCGTCGGTCCGCCCACAATTGCTCGTAAACACTCTACAAGACATAATTCTTGACAGACTGTGACAGTGTGAGTGTTCATAATCACCCAAGGATGAACCCTATTAAAAATCAGAAGAATCGAAAAATATTTAGTATGAGTTATTGCCCTTGTTCTTGAAAACGCGTTCAATTTTTAGCTCGTAAACACTCTAGAAGGCACGATTCTTAATGGATTTGATTTTATTTGATTTTTTTCAAACTTTGTATGTTACATGATATATATATCATTGATGGCAAGTAGAGAAAAAGTATTTTCATCAGATTGCAACAATATTTTCAGATTATTATTGATGAAGCAGCTATGTGTACTGAACCAGAATCAATGATTCCTATCACCACTCATCATGCTAGAAATATTGTCTTAATTGGTGATCATAAACAACTTCAACCTATCATATTAGAAGAAAAGGCAAAACATCTTGGTCTTCAAACATCATTATTTGAAAGATATTCAGAGAAATCTAGCATGTTGGAAACACAATATCGAATGGTATTTTTTTTTTTTTTTAAATAATGCTGAGAGAAAGTTGTCGTGACACAATTCATATTACAAGCTTTCTGAAGCGCAATGTTTTATGGATTTGGATAGACTTGTTCGTTACCACTCGATGATAAACTTTATAGTTATTTAATGACATCGCATGCCGAGTGAGGATCGCAATGGAACTTGATCGAGCAATATCGCAGGACTTTTGACTATATAGAAATGCTGTAAACCATCTGGTGTCATCATCTTATGGTTCAAATCAATATATGTGCACAAAATGTTCGAACAAGGCTTTGTTTCTTATGGGTTTTTCATGTTTCAGTTATAATTTACATTACTCCCGGGGAAATGAATTGATATCAAATATTGTGGGCGACTTATTCCAATGTCCATATCCAATTATAAATTCTAACCCACTGGTCTTGGACTAGATTGACCAAGTTTATAGGTAAGAGTTTCACCCCCTTTCATGGAAACAAACTTCTATACAGTATGTTTTGAAAAAAATATTCTGTGGTTCAGATCGTTATTACTTGTTTTTTTTTTTATTATTAATTATTGCCTCTAAATGAATGTTTGTAATTTTCTAAGCATACTGGAATAATGGAATTTCCCTCAGACATGTTTTACGATGGCAAGCTGAAATGTGGTTCTGAAAAGCAACAAGAACCAGTGAAATTAGATATTTGGCCAAATGGAAAAGATCATCCTATGGTTTTCTGTCACGTTGAAGGAACTGAAGATGGCCTTACAGTAGCTACAGAAGATGGTTCAGAGATGTCCAAATTTAATCAAATTGAAGCAGAATTTGTAGTACGTTATATTCTTAATATATGATGTTGTAAATGAAATTATGATTAGTAATATTAATAAGCCCCCACCAGCTTAAAAATTTAATTTTAAGACTATGTATCCTTTTTATACACCGTCACCCATATCTGTCCGTCCGTCGGTTCGTCCACAAATGCTCGTAAACACTCCAGAAGTCATAATTCTGGACTGATTTCGACGAAACTTAGTGTAATTGTTTGTAATCGCCCAAGGATGAACCGTATTCAAAATCAGAAAAAATCGGAACACTGGAAGGTGCAGTTTTTGAAAACGCGTTCAATTTCAGCTTGTAAACATTTGAGAAGGTTCAATTCTTGACAGATTTTGACGAAACTTGGTGTGAATGTTTTTTATCACCCAAGGATGATCCCTATCGAAAATCAGAAAAATCGGAAAAATATTTAGTATGAGTTATTGCCCTTGTCATTGAAAACTCGTTCAATTTTTTAGCTCGTAAACACTCTAGAAGGCACAATTCTTGATGGATTTGGATGAAACATGAGTGTTAGTAATCACCCAAGGATGAACCCTATCGAAAATCAGAAGAATCGAAAAATATTTAGTATGAGTTATTGTCCTTCAGGTTTTAGCCTGTAAACACTCTAGAAGGCTCCATTCTTGACATATTTTGACCACAACATGCCACAAGATTACCTTTATATATGCTTGATGTACTTTTATAGGTTAATGCTGCCATCAACTTAGTTAATAACTATGGTGTAAATAAAAAAGATATTGTTATTTTGTCCCAGTACAGAGCTCAATGTGCCACTATTAAAAGACTTTTTGAAGAAAAGAAAGTCAAAGATATGATAGTTTTAACTGTAATGGCTAGTCAAGGTAAGCACAGAGTACAATAGGGTTATTCAACTGAAAGCTAATTATAAACATTAGATATCAATTTGTAGAATGGGATTATTCTTATACCTCTTAACACCCTTTCATTTCAGCTAATACCTTAATTACTAGTCAGTTTAGTAATAACATGTATTACTAGTAATCACGGATTTTATTTGTCATTTTTATTGACTTGATAGTACTGTTTCATGATTCAAGAAACCAAATAAAATGTAAAAGGGAAAGAGGGGTTGTTCAGATTTTATGAAGTGCATTCCGTTTTTTTTGTAGGTCGAAAATACCGAGGAACGTGTTTTTAACTCTAAAACTATTTAAAGTTGTTTAAGTTCGTTATATATAGGTGTAAGAAACCTTCTGTACGGATTTAAGAGAAATTTCTCCTACTTATCCTGAAGGTTTCAACTAATAATATTAAGCTGTTATAAAGCCAAACAATATCAATCTGTTTAACTAACCAATATGGATTGAACCCATTTAAAAAAAAAGTAGATACATAGATGTACTAAGTATATCTTAGAAATACTTTCAGGTACATGTATTACACCGTTCTTGATAATGAAGAGAATTACATTGTTTACATGATTGCAATATGTGCAATTCCTGTTTTTTCACCTATTTGCTTTAACATAATTATTTAACTTTATTCTCCCATGACTATGACAAAGTCAATGTCTATAGCTCACTGAACGACGACTAAGTTGCAAAAATTTTGAAGGCACGAGTTGCACCCCTTTGACGAAAAAAGTAAGTTGTGTTCAAGCGATGCATTTCATTTTCATGGAAATCTTTAATTATTAGGAGAAAGATTTCCATTGTTGAACACCCAAAGAGGTAACCGCTCGCTGAGCTGACCGACAATTGTAGTCACGTATTATTTCATTATTACTTTTTTATTAGGAAGTGAATGGGATTTTGTTATATTTTCGACTGTGAGATCTCAACCTCAAGATACGATTGAAGAGTATCCATCTAAAAAATGGATGAGACTAAACCTAGGATTTACCACTAATGGTCACCAAATTAATGTAGCTTTAACACGAGCGAGATGGGGCCATATAATAATTGGTATGCTTTGTTATTTCCTTTCATAATTTATTTCAATATTCCATTTTCATAACTTTACTGTTTATGTCCAAACAGGGAATATCCACAACCCCACCTCTATCTATCTATACATGGTAGATCTTATATAATAAAAAACGTTTATTTTTGACTATCGGACAGAATATAATCGCAATAATAACATCACATGTTGTGGAATCATTTCGAGCATCTTTGAATTTGTAAAACATGTAATTTGTCTATAGATTTACTTATTGTATTTTAGGTAACAAACATTTGCTAGGTTGTGGTCCATTTTGGAATACTTTGATAAAGGGTTATGGAAATAAAAGCTTGGTTACTGACGCCAATAGTTTCCATTTAACGAGACACCCACAGACGAGAAATACCGAAATAGAAGAAGACGAGAATCAACCTCCTAAAAACTAATCCCTTGCCATCAACGAAATCACAACCATCTAATCAATCCATCCTCAACAACCCGAATCAATCAAAACCCAGCCGTCCAAGTCAACAAAACCCATAATGCAAATGACTTAAACACTATATTAAATTGAAATAACCAGTCTATGATATAGGTAATAAATTTTAATTTTAATTTGTTGTGAAATGTAATCAATATTTTTAGATTATTTAACTGGCACTTGTTTAATGTTAAAGGTATACTTCCTCTTAGGATGACCAAAAAAATTGAAATTTGGATCTTTGTTAAAATGAATCGTTGTTCATCAGTGGACCTACCTGGTGTCAAAACTATACAAAACAGCCCTCTATAATCCAAAACAATCTATAAAACTAAGTCATAATTCATTAATTCATAAAGTATTCTTAGAAGCGTGTTTCAATAATTATGTAATGAATATATGTCTTTCTTTTGAGATTCTATTCTTTAGACATGGCACCTGGTAAGTTCAACTGATTAATATTGTTGACCAGTTTGAGACTTTAAATTTATGTCCATTCTAAGATAGCTATAGAATGAAATGTCGGATTTCTTTGGATTCAGATTTGTAAAACATTTTGTAAAAGATGTTCTCAAAATTCGACTTAGTCTCCAACAATTATTTTAACTCATTCCATATCATGTAGTATAAGGTTTTTTACAATAGTTACTGTTATATATATTCAATGATGAAGAACACATTTAATATCATTTAGTGTTATATAATGAAGAACACATTTCACATCCTTTAGTGTTATATAATTATATTCAATGATGAAGAACACATTACATATCATTTAGTGTTATATAATGAAGAACACATTTCACATCCTTTAGTGTTATATAATTATATTCAATGATGAAGGACACATTCCATATCGTTTAGTGTTATATAATTATATTCAATGATAAAGGACACATTCCATATCGTTTAGTGTTATATAATTATATTCAATGATGAAGAACACATTCCATATCGTTTAGTGTTATATAATTATATTCAATGATGAAGAACACATTTCATATTTTATATATGTTATATATCAATGGAAGAAAAGCCTGTATTTAATGTTATATATTTTGAAAAATGAAGAACATACTTCGTATTTATTTTTTGAATAATGTTGAATGTATTCCTAGTCGTGGTATACATATTTTAATAATGTTGTTGTGTTTTGAATAAGAATGGTTGGTTCGTCAGTAGATGAATAATATCCTTATATAGTGTTAAATATTTTGAGTATTTAAGAACACGTTCCGTATATAGTATATATAAATTTTTATTGATACCTGTATTATGTTTTTAACCAATACATAGAATCTCTAAAAAAAACTTTTTGCATCTGTATTATTTACATTATGATTCTGCATTGTATTGTGTGGTACTAGTCTATATTTACATTATGACAAAATTTCTTGGTCTATTGATAGCAGAGCTAAAGCCTACACAAATAAAACCAAACGACGTAACCTTTGTCTAACCGAAAAACTTTCCATCATCAATGCCCCCCCAAGAACACTTCTTTAAACAAATGTTCCGATCTCGTCTCGAAGGGTAGACATGACTTGTCCAACTTAAGTAGAGATACAGGCTGAATTATATAGGTCAGTTGTTTGAAGATCGCTTAGTGTAAAACTTTGAGTAACAACAACATGTTTTTTAGGTTCTTTTTTAATATTTCTATTTCTATGATACTGTTTTATATTATTTTCTCTGTATTGTTTCATTAAAGGGATTGTAAAGAGGTTTTCTAGGCATTTTTTGTGTACTGTTGACTTCTATTTGGGACATTCTAATTCTTAGAGTGCCTGTGGTAGAGTTAACCGAAAATGTCGTAGCTTCCACCAGATCACAAATACATTATAGGCTAATTTGATTATCTCACCTAACAAAATAGCGGCATTTATAACTAAAAATTCACATTTTGCTTCACCATTTGCGTATATAACTCTTACTACATCTTATAATGCTTAGTTTTAAATTTAATGGTCACGTCCAATCACTTATGATTGTTATACTTCCTCATTTGAAAAGTTCATTAGCTGCTATTGATAAGATCTCGGTCAAGCTCAAAGTTGGTAGACCTAATAATCGTATAAACGGTTATAAATTTGGCTTGTAGACGCGATAGAGGCTATACAGTATTTATCCGATGTTTATGGTATGTATGTATATATTGATTAGGTCTGGACCAGCTTTTGCCCGTAGACACGATCGAGACTACGGTTTATAGCCTATCTGAACTTTGGAGAACAATTTTGATCTATAAAAAGCATAGAGACTGCAGTAGGCTATTTATCCAATTTTAATTAAATTTGAAACGAATGTGTATGATGCAATCTTATTCATGTTTCAATTTGATGATAATGTGATACACTGTTTTTAAGGTAGGCCTATTGCTTGACTTATAAAATATCTTTAAAAACCTGAGACATGAGAGCAGTGTGATTTAGTCCATTGGAAAAAAATTTCTGCGGAAAAACTCATCATACTAAATTAATTGGATGCATTATGAAGATCGTATTCTTGAATATGAGAATTATTCTGCCCGGTTACGGATAACTCACGCAGATAGTTATCAGACTTTATCGGCACTTTACAACAATATCATACCTATAAGATCGCCGTAAAAGCCGCAATAAAAAAAGAAGGGATCAGTACAACTTCTAAGGAAATCTTATAAAATTGAGCAAAAATTGTATATAGGGCGCCTAGGGCTCGACTGGCTGACTTTGCTAATTCGGAAGTTGCCTTTTTCATATCTAAATGTTCATCAATCCAAATACCTAAGTATCTGTAGGCGTCTGTGAATTCAAAATTATACCTAGAGTGGGGGATTGTCCACAATTCTAGTTCTTTTTACAATGGACATCGAAAAAATAGAAAAACCAAATTCCTTATTTGATCAAGAAACGGGTTTTACTTGACACATTTTGATTGGTTAAAAATAACATCATTAGAGCGGGTCTTTGGAAGAAAACTATTTAGAATACCATAGAGATAAAATATATCAGCATAAAAAAAAAGTAGAAAATTTTCATTACCATTTTTTAATCATACAATTCAGAAGTGAGCTCTAAATAGTACAGAGTAGTACACAATGTAAATATAAATCATCATAGTATCATACAATTTAACTATAGATAATTATCAATTTTATAATGAATTACACATTTTATTACCTATAACTATCCAATATGTTAGATACATCTCACAGATCTAAATTATTCTTATCAAAATGATTAAAAGAGATAATACATGTATCATTCATAAATTATAACGCTATATACAGTATGTTCTTCGTTTTCGAATATACAGTCAAGTAACCTAATTTCGTGCTAACCTATTTTTCGTGCATCTTCAGAAATGATTAATAATTTACGTGTGCCTCGCGTGAACTCCGCATTTGCTTGTTTTGGTAAACATGGGTTATCTTTATGTCAGCTAGTAGGCCTAGCATGAATCCAGTAGTCATCATTTTTTATCGGCCGAATTTCATTATAATCCAAAGCTGTAATCGGAATTCGGAATTAGAATGCTGCTAGAATGTAGTCCAATAAACGAAGTTACGTGATAAATCAGCGTGTCAACAAAATAATTCTATGGAACACTATGTGAGCTGTATTCTTATGTTGTTTCAAAGACTTTTAGCAATAAATCACTCTTACGTTTTACTTATTTTATTTTGTCAGTCACTATTTTTATATTTAAATCATTGTTCTTTGAAGGAATTTTCACTAGTTATAATGAATTGATATTAAAGATAAATACTAAGAGAAGTTAATCATACCACTGGGTATGCATACAGCGTGTTTTCTCGACTTATCTATAGATCAAACATTGTACACGAAAATAGGTGACGCATTTAGCAGCCATTGTCGAGATGGTTACTCATGAAAAAATTTGCGTTTTTTTAATTTTGACGAAATTCGATGTTGAAACCTTGTATGCACGAATATAGGTTACACTACTGTATATAAAACACTATAAGGAAAGTTTCTTCAAAATAATATAATACTATAAACATCTTCTTCATTATTCAAAACATATAACACTACAAGAAATATGTTCTTCGTTATCAAAATATAAATAAAATTATTAGGAATGTGTCTTCATTATTCAATGTATAAAACACTATATACAGAATGTATTCTTTATTATTCAAAACACTACAAGAAATATGTTCTTCGTTATCAAAATATAGATTAAATTATTAGGAATGTGTCTTCATTATTCAATGTATAAAACAACACTTTATACAGAATGTATTCTTCATTATTCAAACCACTACAAGAAATATGTTCTTCGTTATCAAAATATAGATTAAATTATTAGGAATGTGTCTTCATTATTCAATGTATAAAACACCATATACAGAATGTATTCTTCATTATTGAAAACACTACAAGAAATATGTTCTTCGTTATCAAAATATAGATTAAATTATTAGGAATGTGTCTTCATTATTCAATGTATAAAACACCATATACAGAATGTATTCTTCATTATTCAAAACACTACAAGAAATATGTTCTTCGTTATCAAAATATAGATTAAATTATTAGGAATGTGTCTTCATTATTCAATGTATAAAACACTATATACAGAATGTATTCTTCATTATTGAAAACACTACAAGAAATATGTTCTTCGTTATCAAAATGTAGATTAAATTATTAGGAATGTGTCTTCATTATTCAATGTATAAAACACTATATACAGAATGTATTCTTCATTATTGAAAACACTACAAGAAATATGTTCTTCGTTATCAAAAAGCATATTAAATTATTAGGAATGTGTCTTCATTATTCAATGTATAAAACACCATATACAGAATGTATTCTTCATTATTGAAAACACTACAAGAAATATGTTCTTCGTTATCAAAATATAGATTAAATTATTAGGAATGTGTCTTCATTATTCAATGTATAAAACACTATATACAGAATGTATTCTTCATTATTGAAAACACTACAAGAAATATGTTCTTCGTTATCAAAATGTAGATTAAATTATTAGGAATGTGTCTTCATTATTCAATGTATAAAACACTATATACAGAATGTATTCTTCATTATTCAAAACACTACAAGAAATATGTTCTTCGTTATCAAAATATAGATTAAATTATTAGGAATGTGTCTTCATTATTCAATGTATAAAACACTGTTTGTATGAATGTATAATATTCTTCAATTTTCAATTATTAGGAATGTGTCTTCTTCATTATTCAATGTATGAAACACTATAATATACAGAATCTATTCTTCATTATACAGAATG